AGCTAGGTTTTGTAAGAACACTTGTTAAGATTTTCTCTTTATTCCTGTTCTATGAAATATGCAACTGGTTCTGCTGGCGTAACTAGAAAAATGTATGCAAATGGCCATTTAAATAAACAAGTACAACTTTGCTATGAAGTATCCATTCTTCATCTGTGAGTCGTCTGAATAAAGTCGTGACTCGTGAAGTGCGAAAAAGTTTTTGCTGTTGTGAATGTCGACTGCATATCAAAATGTACATTTATGTAGCAAAATCGCTCTTATTAGAACTGCATAAAATGCCAACATTTACCTTGATGTGCCATCGTCTGTATCTATTGCGAATTTGCGTGTGGAGGCGTGGTAGCTACTCGTAGTACCTTCATAACGCTGTTGTATCATATCGTTACCGTTTGCAATTGATTTATCTCGCTCGATTCAATTTATTGCCAATTTAATTGAAACCATTTATTATCTGCTTATCAGACGTTTGATGTAGGTCCAGTGAAAGGTAGTTGCTCTTATAAAGGACCGACTAAAGAGAATGGAGTCCTTTTAGACTCTCTTCAAGATCAGTTATAGTTGTTGCAATTCACGAAGGCAAGTGAGCTTTACATGTGTGGTGGTTCCTACTGTTTGTTTTTCAAAAGATTTGATAGACACTACACTATCGTTATGTGCATGTACAATTGTACACGTATACACACACAAGTAAAGCTCACTCGCCTTCGTGAGTTGCAAGAACTATAACGAGAGTTAAGCCCTTTTACACTTTCTTCATTCAGTTTTACAATGTTATATGAATCAGCAAAGATGGTCCGCATTATCGCACATGCCATAACCTATTAATATCTTTTTAAATGGGCCACACAAAAACTTGCGATTACTAAGCGGGAGGTTTGGACTAAAAATAGAAAATTTAACAAGTTATTTTAAAGGAGACGATATGAATGAACTAGTAGATTCTGCTGGTAGATGGATCTCGCTCTTTCATAGAGTCATTTATAGTGCGCGCGTCTCTCTGTTATAAACACTTTCCTGTTATGAGTTTTAATATCCCTAACATGGGTATTCATGGGTTTCCTATTCAAACATTCCCTATTTTACCCTAGTTTTATTTTGCAATAACAGGCTTGTTTTCTAAGTCCCTTTTTTCCGCGAAATTAATCAAAATTGATTTAGCTTTACGTTTCTTGCGCTACTTCTTGTTAGCACTGGCCCACACCACATTACTGACCTTAAGCAGTCGTAGAGCCACAAGTAAAGCTTTAAAGCGCTTTTCAAAAGCTTAATATTGCGAAAAATATATCATTTGAAGTTGATTTGAAGCTCCTTTGGCAAAAATGCAAGTTCTCTCAGTAAAGTTCGTGTCTCAGTAATTTAATATAATAACTTCTTTGTTACCTACTTTAATTTAGGTCGTGCAATTCCGGGCTTAGGTCATTGTACTCGCGAAATGCGCCATCATGATGAGACTGTAATCTGACACAACCCCCATGGGCCTTTTGTTCTTTGTTTTATGTTAGGCTTTATACAAACACGCACGAAAATTGGGTTGTTTTGATGGTTTTCAGGACACTCAAGTAATCAATATTAATTAGAGTTTGCATGGGTCATTGTTTTTTTTTCAGCCTGAACTAGGGTTAAAACTTGTATTTCTAAGGCTGAGTTGCACCATCTAAGTTTGACTATAACTTTGACGTTAACCGGTGCTTTTTGTATGGATTTTGACAGATTATTGACGTTTGTTAAAGTTAAAGTAAATTAGTGTAACCCAGCCTAAATTAATTTGTGTTGAATTGTACGCGTGTCCTCCAAAAAACCGGACAAAACTATCTCTACATAGGTAATACAAAATGCATCAAAATCGGTTCAGTGTTTTACTGTGAAAACTGAAAAGGTAACAGAGAGATAGACAATCAGATTTACTTCCTCATTTATTATACGAGTAAATGAGTAAGATAAGTGTGAAAAAACTTCATTTTATTTATCTAATGTTCTAAAAGGTGAAATGCCATTTGCAGTTTATTTTATAACGGCACATAAAGTTAAAACACAATGGCATCATTTTGTAGTGCTATTTCGCAGCAATTTTATCGTCAGACGTCGCCTTCACTTACCTATAAAGTTGTGAAATTTTATGGTTAATAAGTCTACATTTACCAACATACAAAAACTCATAATGTAGAAACTAAACTTTTCATACAGTTAAAAATATTCTTAACACTTTTAGGAACGTGAACAGATTACTCAGAATTAGTCCAAAGAGTAATAAAAACTCCCATAAACTTTAAACACCAGACACAAATGTCAATAAACCACCATATTTTGGTGGCGAATAAGTTACGTATGTTAGGTTCATACACTGAACAGTGTCCAGAAAATTTTTGGTACAAAATAGCACTTTGTTACAACTGAATAAGGTGTCGTATGTACAGAACCCAGATGTTATGGTTATCACCTATTTCATAAGGCAATAAAGACGGGTCATTGAACCACATCTAGGCAACGCCTAGGCTTCACTGTCGTAGTGATGTCCAGTGTATAACGTTATACCTATGGCGAGTATTTTATACGTTACTAGCTTTTGCCCGCGGCTTCACCCGCGTGAAATTTAGTGTCACAGATCGGCATAAATTATAGCCTATATGTTAATCTGGGTTACAAAAAATAATACTGTAAAGTTTCAACAAAATCCGTTCAGTAGTTTTTGCGTGAAAGAGACATCCTGACATCCAAACTTTCGCATTTATAATATTAGCAGGATAGGATATTAGTAGGATTATAATATTAGTAGGATAGTAGGAAGTAGGACTAGTAGGATAGTAGGATGTTACGCAGTACCTATGTAATGTACACTTGTTTCATGTTATTACCTATTTTCATCTACATATAAATAGGTAGATGAAAACCTGTATTCTAAACGTGAAAGTTTTGAGGGTGAATGAATGTTTGATAGATAAGTGAATACTTCAACTATCACCGCCTCTAACCGTCAGAAATGGAAGCCATCACCCCACCGTGTACCTCGTCAGCGCAACCACGACCACTCTGACAAGAGTGCCCGACTTAGAACTTAGAAGAAGATCAACTATCATCTTCGAATCAGTAGCCCAAAACCCGGGAGGGCATAAGACCTTTCTGGAGGGGGCACGGGGACCCACGAAGACTGGTCTTTATCACACTGTCCCCTTTTCAGAGGTAGAGCTAACTGAGATAACAAAATCTCTGGTCCTAAACTATCTCTTTTTCGGATTATCGGTGCAGTGATTTAAACTTGTCAGTGTTGACAGTTAAACAGATACTCGTAGAATTACATTACTTTCGCATTTATGACATTTNTGGGATAGTTGGGATGGATGCATTGGTTTATTTATAGCTTCATATCATATCGATACTTCCATATCGATCGATCATAGCTGTTCTCGATAGCACGTCACTTGATATTTTACGATCCATATCGTCCAATTGGTCGCATTGTCCGGCTGATGAGGAAACCTGTACGATGCGTATTATACCGCGAATTCGTAGCAATTTGTGGCTATTATGGTGGTTTAATACAGTTATAAGAGGTGTAAGACATTACTGAATTAGCCTAGTAACACTTACACGTAACAGTGCTTAATAGAAACAGAAGAAGACATACATAATGTTTAATACCAAAATGAAAATGAGAAAGTAAAGAAATAAGTGTAAGTACTTATTTCTAATTATACACTAAAGAAAGGCACCATAATGGTCTCCATTCAGTATATTATGAGCACAAAAATGAGATTTTTAACTTGTCACTCTCAGTCTGTAAAGTTAAATCTAGACTATTCCTTAGATTCAGTTGAGTTTTTACAACTTTATGAGCGTTCTTTCAGAATAGAAGCTCGTTTTTTGTTAGCGTAAATTGTCTAAACTTAAAATCAAATATCAGATGGGTTTTCTTACTCCTTAAGTATTCGTACTTATTAGGTTTTGTTTTGTAAGGATTGACCAATCTTTTTTTCATAATATTTTGCCACAGCCCAAAACAGCTAAGCATGATGTGTCGTAGACGTAGTATTCACATACTTACCAACACTGCTTTGTAATGCTAATTACGAATATTTACCAATGCTCACATGAGTCATACATACATTGTAATTTGTTTTGCAAACATATTGTTTAGTTGTTCAAGATTTTACAGTCGCACCAAACTGAAATGCGCTAAATCTTTTGTATAACATTTTCATATTAGGTCCGTTTTCCACCAAGCTAAGATCTTGAGGAAATTAGATGTTTGATGAACAACCAATGATTTCCATTCCCATAATTGGTTGTTCAAACACATCTCCTCTCTACATCACCCCTCTTCTCGCTTTGATGGATCCCAGGCCTTATGTAGTTTTTAGATTTTTTAAAATAATATTATAAGAAATTCTTTATAAGGAATCTGTGCTGCAATTCGATAGAGCTTAAAATGTTGTAGGTATATACTTATGTTTCTTGGATGTTATTGGAGAATTGAATAAGGTTTCGTTAGACTAGATGAAGAAGATTGTTTTAATTAAATATTTTCAAACCTTCACTGGCTTTATTATTTTAGTGCAGCTTCTGTAGGTAGCGCACACAATCATCAACATAATACGATAAGGGAGCTAATTAAAATTTCATAGACATTGGTTTTATCGCTGTACGTGAAAGCATAACAAATTCACTTTCTAATATTAAGGAAGTAAATGTAGAGCGAAACAATTTGCGAGATATGTTTAAAACAATGAAGTTTAAGTAGCAAAAAAGTTGTACAAATCAGTCATCTAGCAAAATCATTCGCTCATCATCGCTCTAAATTCAACGCTGTGCATCCGATTTGCTGCTTCACTTAAGCAGGTATCGTTTGTGAATACGGGCGATAGAGTTTAAAAAAACCCATTTAACTTGCTAAATTTTGACTATGTTATGTATGGTATTATGTTTTCAATACTCAATACTCAAATCTTTATTGCATTCATGTTGTCTGTAATATGTTCTAAAAGTATTTTTACTTGTTGCAGGTAGTCCAAGCACAGAGTTCAGTCGGCATAGGATAGTTCAGCCGATTGTACATCATGGTAGAACAAAACGAGAAATTTCCACGACTCGTGATACGGTAAGTTTGAGATGATCACATCATTCATCATCATAATATCAGCCACATGACATTCATACACAAAACAGAGGCCATGGCAAAGTAAACGCAGTCCGCATCATTTGTCGGTCTCTCTCTATACATTTGCGATGCGATCTGACTGTGCGGGCACGAGCAAAAAACGCATACCGCACCGCTGCTGACATATTGTCATGACCACTGACAAATTATTGCCCGGACAGCTGACCGTTGCCCTGACCGACAGTGTGGCAATCCTTTAGTAGAGGGTAGACCTGATCTGACAAATGAGTAAAGAAAAATCATGTGCCTTTGATAGCGCTCTGTCGACTGTCGATTGAAAAGTAGAGTCTCGTAATCAATTAAAACATGCTCTTTGTTCTGTTCCTAAGCTTCTGCGATAATACTTGTTTGTACAGCAACAACATCACATCAGATTAATTTTTTTTTTGCAAAATAGCCTCTAATACAACGAGATTAGACGCCGCTGTGTAACTTGACGTGCTATCGCCCGTACTAATAACATGTTTACACAACTTCCAGAGCGGTGCACATCACTCCGACGTCAGCATACGGGTCCAGATCAAAGAGGGCGTGGAGTATATTCTAGATCTGCGGTTGAACGAGGACCTTATTCCCGACGACCATGTAGTCCGGTACCAGAAGAACGGGAAGACAATTGTTCACAAACCTAAGAAGAAGGTGAGAAGAATACGTGCTTGATAGATCGTTTCATACACGAAGTCGCGTCCCACCATTCTTCCGCAAATGTATGAGTATTATCGGTACACGCTACATTTTCCATGAGTGCAGTTGAGTGCACACGCACACTATAATAATGACGCTCGGATTGCTCGGATCAAACTCCTCGCACCCCGCGCATCCCTCGAACAAAAATTGGTGGGGCGCATCTTCGTGGATGAAACGGTCTATAGAAAGCTCAGAGTAAATGCTGACTGAGTTTCTTCCGCCACTTCTTCTCAGCAACAGCCCATTATGTTGTCCATGTAGGGTAAGCTATTTGGGACGTGTTTAAGCTTTTGTTTTACTTTGATTTTGTTTTGGTTAATCGATTGTTCAACTGTTCAAATGACCCACAAATAACTAATTATGTAGGTACCTAATCGATTCTTAATCGATATCATCAATTGTTTATCTTAAAACAAAGATCGATAATTCGATATAATCGACAGCGATATTTCAAAATAGATTTATGTGGTTAGGGCTTAATCGATCAATTGATCAATTGATAATAAACAATTATCACTAGCTAGCTATACTGTTACTATTACTACAACTACGAAAAGGTATTTGTGAGTTATTTTAGTTCAGGTTCATTACAACGTCGCCTACGCAATGTGTTCGTTGACTGACCCTAAAGTCCTTCACCCAATTCAATCGGGGGGCCTAGTAGCACGGAAGGGAACCGTTTCGTTCACGTTTCATCCAATCACTGCGATTGCTATTAATAGCAAATAGTCTTGGGGTTATGACCCCTTATCAGTATGTTCTTGTGTACCTGTACACAACTATCCCAACTAATATTATAAATGCGAAAGTAACTCTGTCTGTCTGTCTGTCTGTCTGTCTGTCTGTCTGTCTGTTACGCTTTCCCGCTTAAACCTCGCAACCGATTTTGATGAAATTTGGCATAGAGATAGTTTGAGTCCCGGGAAAGAACATAGGATAGTTTTTATCCCGGTTTTTGAAACAGGGACGCGCGCGATAAAGTTTTTCTGTGACAGACAAAATTCCACGCGGGCGAAGCCGCGATCGGAAAGCTAGTGTTCTTATAAGTTTAAGCCTGTTACAATACATATCAACTTGACTCAAACGAACGAACACTAATCTGATATCATTCGGCATAAGAACATGAGTCCAAAAATGCACCATTTTAAAGTGGCAAACATTGGGTCGGTCATATGTCGCAAACTTAATGAAAGATGGAGTAATTAATTTCTTGAATGGAGAACACGTCTCGACGAATGAATGTGGTATCTATGTTACAGTTAAAACTCATAATCGGTCAAAACCACTTTTGACCCCAAAAATCAGTCAAAAGTGGTTATGACTGATGCTCTTGGTCAATATAACTTTTGACTGTTTTTTGCAGTTAAAAGTGGTATTGACCGATTATGAGCTTTGACTGTAACATCTATATCCTCTTCTTGATTCACATTTTACCTAATTCTTTCCAGGACATAGATCTATGTCAGTACACCGGCACAGTGCGAGGCAAGCCGCACTCAAGAGTAGCAGTTTCCACCTGCCGAGGGCTGAGGGGTGTCATCTCTGATGGGGACAATATTTATTACATCCAGCCTGAGAAAGGTTAGTCAAAGGTTCTGAAAAAGAGCTTTATTTGCAGAAAAAATACTTTTATAACTAGGTATTCGACTGTATGTAGTCTCTCTTCACCAGTCCCATTTAAACTTATATGGAGGGGTTTATACTTTTCATTGTATTTATGTATTTTACTATAATAATAAAGCCGCGTATTTATTTAATAAAAATATTATCAGATTTAATTAAACAAATTACACACAATATGCTTTAAACATTTCAATGTCAAAACCTATTGTTTAAAAGAAATTGTTCCGATTTTTCTTCAAACATACCTAATTAAAAGTTTTTATTGTTTCTTTTCTGCCTGAATATTTATGATACTTATGTTTATTGTTTTTAGGCAATGACATCCAGTCTCCCCACTACTTATTCGACCATTCCGACTTGAAGACCAACCATCGCTGCGGGTACGAGGGTGGCGTAACGAAGAACAAGACCTATGACCCTCTATTGTTAAAGAAGTACACAGAAGAGAAAAGAGCAGAACGGAGTAGGGGCAGTCGCGTAAGTTTATGTTCACACTGGATTGTTATCACGTAAAATACATTCTACTTTGTTGACCATTAGCATGAAATGTAGTCCAAAAAACATGAATTTGGTCTTATTCTATGCAGGATTAAATAGCTTACTACAGTTACGAAGATTAGTTTTTGATACTGTAAGGGTACGTTGCACCATCTTACTTTAACTTTGACAAACGTCAAAAATCTGTCAAATTTCATATAAAAACACCAGTTATCGACATAGTTACCGTCAAAGTTAGGTGGTGCAACTCAGCCTAAGTCCTTTACGAGATATAAAACGTAAAACCGCAAAAATGCTCCTTTTGGGGGCCCACCATTTAAACAACTGCGCCGGAGTAAAAACCTAGGATAGTTATATTGGGCAACAAATTAACGCCCGTATTTACAAACATTACTATGAGGTCTCGCAGTGCACGTGAACGCACCGGGTGACACACGAACCAATCACAGAGCTCTATTCAACGCTGTTTGTTCCATTTGCTGCTTCACTTAAGCAAGCATCGTTTATGAATACGGGTGTTATAGCCATTAAAACAATAAAATCTTTTGTAGGAATTAAATCTTGCAATTCTTATTCTACTGGCCTGACAGACTATAGGAAAAAATAAACTTTTCTATTCTATTTCAGTACAAAAGAGAAGCAGAAGACACCCAAGTAAGGGGTCCGTTCAACGCGAACAAACTGTCCCGTTATGTTGAATTAGTTCTGGTGTCGGACCACCGGGAATTCCAAGCCAATGGCGAGAGCGTAGAGACGGTTCATCATCAGCTCAAAGACGTGGCCAATATTATCAACTCGGTGAGTTTGAAGTAAACCATAGGGTCATAAACCATAGTCAGATTTCATTGTTAGAAATCTAATATCTTACAGCGCCCAAACGTAACGTAGCGTAAACCCACTTAATTTGCACTCTGCATAGACCCCTTCGAGATCATAAATGATTCCTGTGGTTCAATATAGGCCGTTCCGGGTACACTCTAGGCGTACCTAGCCTAGTTTACCTTAAACCTGCCTACCTGAAAAAAAATTTTGCTCACCAAGTGACACTGGTTCTTCCACAGTTTTCTTACCCACACAAAATTAACACTTGACCTATCTTTGTTTCATCATTCCAGGTGTACTCACCACTTAACATCTTCATCGCCCTAGTAGGGGTGGTGATATGGACGGAGCGCGACGAGATCCAACTAGTGGAGAATGGCGACGATACGCTCAACAACTTCCTACGCTACAGGCGGTTCACGCTACTGTCCGATATACCGAACGACAACGCGCATTTGATCACGTAAGTGACGTCACTCTAATATACTCACCGATTTAATATCCGCTGGTGATATGGACGGAGCGCGACGAGATCCAACTAGTGGAGAATGGCGACGATACGCTCAACAACTTCCTACGCTACAGGCGGTTCACGCTACTGTCCGATATACCCTACGACAACGTGCATTTGATCACGTAAGTGACGTCACTCTAATATACTCACTGATTTAATATCTGCTGGTGATATGGACGGAGCGCGACGAGATACAACTTGTGGAGAACGGCGACGATACGCTCAACAACTTCCTACGCTACAGGCGGTTCACGCTACTCTCTGATATACAGAATTACAACGCGGATCTTCTAATCTTCTTTAAATATCCAGGCGCGAACGCCTTCCTGAATTTTGATGGCAAATTGACATCGAAGCAATAGTTGTAATTAAATGAATAACAAGAAATATGCATAGTTAAACAATTTACTTAATTAAGTCTTAGGCCCAGAACACACGGTGAAACGCAATTGCAATGAAACTGAAACTTCTAGTTACTTTTGAGTTGCATCTAAGTTTCTGCCATAGATTCCGTTGAGAGACCACACTTGACGCGACCATTTCAAACCGGTTTCAAACTGGTCGCGTCATGTGTGGTCTGCAGTTTCGTTGCAATTGCGTTTCACCGTGTGTTCTGGGCCTTAGCCGACCTGTAAAAATATAGAAACAAAAAGTACGTGCGATTCTGAATGAATCGAATTAGCTGAGCGTGACATCATTATGCCATAGCATGCGTATTATTTGAACGTGGCTAGTGGTGACGTCATGAGATTGCAAATAAATAATGTTTAAAAATCTTACATAGTCCATTTTCACAATGATAAAGTGGACTGGACTTGGTTTAGAACCATATAACCAATAAGTAATCGGCCGAGATGTCATGTCATTCTCATTATTTCTTACTAAATCGTCTTTAAAATAACCATATCGTCAACATTGCCACTACTAACATCATCATCTGATGACGTCTGCTGTTATCATCATCATCATCATCATCATTTCAGCCACAGGACGTCCACTGCTGAACATATGCCTCCCCCAATGACTTCCACATCGCACGGTTGGTAGTGGCCTGCATCCAGCGCCTTCCTGCTACATTTATCAGGTCGTCGGTCCACCTTGTGGGTGGACGTCCCACGCTTCGTTTTCCGGTACGCGGCCTCCATTCCAGAACCTTGTTGCCCCATCGGCCGTCAGTTCTGCGTACTATGTGCCCTGCCCACTGCCACTTCAGCTTGCTAATCCGTCGGGCTATGTCAGCGACTTTAGTTCGTTTACGGATCTCCTCGTTTCTGATTCGATCTCGTAAAGAAACCCCGAGCATAGCCCTCATCATCGCTAAAACTGTATTTGCCTATTCCAGCCGCCAGAAATTCCGCGAAGGCGTAGTAGGCAAAGCCCTAAAAGGTCCCATATGCACCTACGAGTTTTCCGGCGGGGTCGCCACCAACCACTCAGAAGTCATCGGCCTGGTAGCCACGACGATAGCCCACGAAATGGGCCACAACTTCGGGATGGAGCACGATACGGAACAAGACTGCGAGTGTCCCGATGATAAGTGTATTATGAGCCCGTCCAGTACGTCTGTTATGCCGATACACTGGTCGTCTTGCAGTTTGAAGTCGTTGGCGTTAGCGTTTGAGAGAGGAATGGATTATTGCTTGCGGTGAGTTTGTTATAAATACTGTTCACTTAGATAAAAACTTTTAATTTGTCCACAACGATAAAAATATACAGTACCTACTAAAAGAATATTTTATATCATTCTCATTTTTTTAAATTCTTTTGTTTCAATCAAATGTAAATTAAGATTTTGAGTTGCTTTAAAATTCATAAAACGTTTGTTCATAGATAGAGCCGGGTAAATAGTGACGTCATAAGTTTGTATTACCAATTTACCACACAAATTTTATGCATGAAGAACGTTTTGAAAACTGATAAAACAAATGCTGGCTGAGTAAGGCCCCATTGCAATAGAGATTTCTTGTGCTACTGTTATAATTTTTACGCATCTGTTTGTGATGTCCCATTGTAATAATTGTTTCTTTAACAGTGGTCTAATGAGACCGCGGTAACAATGGATCTCTAATGTGCCTCGATTCGCTGGTACTTGAAGGGTTACAAAGATCTCGTATTGTTTCCACAGCAACAAGCCGAAGCGTCTGTTCGACTCGCCGACTTGCGGCAATGGATTCGTAGAGCCGGGCGAGCAATGCGACTGTGGGTTACGGGCGCCGGCCGCATGTCGCGCTTGCTGCGACGATTCTTGCATGCTACGGAGCAACGCTACGTGTGCTACGGGCGCGTGTTGTGACCTCGAGGTACGTAGCACAGACAGTAAGAGAAGAGATCGACTCAAAAGGTGCTACGACGCACTACAGTGCTACGAGATCAACTGGACGCTAGCAGAGCTCTACGAATCAGTGCTACACTACGCAACGCTACATCCACCACGAATCCCAATGCTACGACGTAACCAGTGCTACAGAAGTCAGTTAGAAATTACTACGAACAACTTCAGTGCTACGCACTACTACTGATTTAGTAGTCACCAACTTATGAGTTGTGTTGCTATTGACCATACTCGTAGCTGATTCATCGCAGAGTATTCTAACCGCTAACCTTGTTCATATCCACTGAAGAATGGTTCAATATGTTTGCTTATGACCACAGCCATAGCAAATATAGCCGAGATCAAACTTTCGCGTTTTATTCCCGTTGCTTTCAGATGTAATAGCTAAAGTACGGCCAACTAGCAGCGATACAAAAGGTCGATTCGACTGTCGAGTTGACAATCTATTCTGTCTCTTCCCATCTTGTGTATCTTCTTCTTCTATATATATAAAAGAAAGTCGTGTTAGTTACTTCGCTTATAACTCAAGAACGGCTTAACCGATTTAGCTGAAAATTGTCAGGGAGGTAGTTTAGAGCCAGGAGAAGGACATAGGATACTTTTTATCCCGTTCGAAATTAAAAAAGTCTGCTTATTTATTGCCATTAAGGCGGAACAAAGTTCGCCGGGTCAGCTAGTTTGTCATATAAATGTCTCGTTCTCCCGCCAAAATATGTCAAAGTTAGACGGGGGTTCGTCAACATTCGGACATCCATTTTAGTATACATAGTTGTTGCAATTCACGAGGGCGAATCTGTTACATGTCGGTTCTTATTTTATTATTCCGATATATTTAAGTCTCTATGAAAAAGGGGTAGTTGGTAGTGTAGTGGTAGTGGTGGTAGGGCCTGTTGCCATACACCGGGCACATTGTGCAGAAATGTTATTATTATTCTTGTTATTTAATTTAAATCTACATTATACAATAATTCAAATTGTAACAAAAACAAAATTCGATAAAACATCTATTTTTATGGTTTGACAGATATTTATTAAAACTATAATGTCTACAAAAATATGTAATCTAACTATTAAAAAGTTATGCACCCCTGCTATTCCAAATGACCATGACATTGGGTTTGTTTACATTTGGTATCGCTTCTCGTTGGCCGTACTTTATCTTTATTTATCATCCTTGTCCCAGACGTGTCGTCCCAAATCGGCGGGGACGGTGTGCCGCGCAGCAGAAAGGGAATGCGACTTAGCGGAATACTGCACGGGACACTCGGAGTTCTGTCCCGCTGACGTGTTCAAGATGGACTCCACGCCTTGCGGGAACGAACAGGTATGAAACCTCATGAAACACATTTATTTTTGCAATTAGACCCAATATTAATCCTACACTGCTTCGGGACAATAAATGGGCCAGTGCTGAGAAGCAGCGCAAGAAACTCCGTCACTATTGTATGCCCGCCTTAGGCTGGTTTTCACCATCAATCCCTAATTTTTAAGTGACCTCTTTTTAAGTGAAAGCAATATTCCTGTTGTGTGTTTCCATAGGGGTCACTTAAACATTAGGGATTGATGGTGAAATCAGGTATTAGGCTAGTTTTAAAATCGCGCTGATACACGCTGACCATCGGTGCTGACGGCCGAAATGAATGAATCGTCGGCGCCAAACGATCAGCGTCACTTGGAAACGTTTCCGAAATTACATAGTACTATCGGGAACGCTTCCGCCTGACCACTTTGTAGAAATTTTAGCGTAAGGGGGCATCCATTAATTACGTGAGACTTTTAGGGGAGGGAGGGGGTCCAGAAAAACCTCACTTAATCTCACGTGGGGGAAAGGGGGGGAAATCGAGAAATATCACGTATTTTTTTCCACAACAAACAGAGTAAATCTTCCGTCTGCATTTGTGAACACAGGCCCAGTTTTTAGATCCGCAGTTTGCTACCAATGCTTATAAATTAAAAAATGTAAACTTATAGTTAAAAATTGTACTAAAAGTAAAAAACTGGGCCTAAATTGTTTTGTTTTATCATTTCAGTAATTTTTTTACCCAGGTCGGGTTTTTTTTATAAAATCTAATATTTTCGAAGCATGGATTATCTCATTTACATTGCAAATAGGCATTTTNTTTGGGTGACCTTGAGCCTTCTTATGAGGCCCATAGTAAGGGACCACGTCTCTTATCCGTACTACCGTACCGTACCGTACGTGCTCACAGACCGGGCTTTAACTTTATTTATCATCCTTGTCCCAGACGTGTCGTCCCAAATCTGCGGGGACGGTGTGCCGCGCAGCAGAAAGGGAATGCGACCTAGCGGAGTACTGCACGGGACACTCGGAGTTCTGTCCCGCTGACGTGTTCAAGATGGACTCCACGCCTTGCGGGAACGAACAGGTATTTTTTTTTTTTTTTTAATAGGGTAGAGCAAACAACTACAAAACAACATAATTAAGATAGATAAATACATGACAAATTATTAGTAATGTAGCCCACAGCGCTATCCTCAGTTTACTAAAACAAATTATTAATTAGGTCGCGAGCCGCTGGCCAGGTAACAAAGCAAAGTAAGAAAGCAAACAAAACAAATTAAATAAAAACACTTGCAACAAAGCAGAAAATATGAAAACAGAAGCATTCTTAGCGACTCAGAGTTCAATTTTCCTGACAAACGTTTCGCTTTAAACAAAAAATAATTAATTAACAGAAATCTTAAAGAAAAAAAACTTAAAAAACAAAGGTATGGCCATGAATCCGAGCATATATTATCTGGGGGCACAGAAGTTCCCCACAGAGCAGAGTCCAGCAAAAGAGCAAACTAGGTAGTAGAAAAATAAATATATGCCTATTTTACTCACATAATTTACTTATTTATAGGCATACTGCGTGCGAGGATCCTGTAGATCTCACACGGACCAGTGCAGACTCCTGTGGGGTACAACGGGAGAGAATTCGCACGAGAAGTGTTACACCAGAAACAACGTTAATGGGACCAAGTGAGTACTGTTTGGTTGGCATTAGCCAGAGTAAATACAAATGAGTAGGTCATCATCATACAAAATCACAGAATAAGTAATAGTACAGGTACAGAAGGATTACTCCGCAAGACGATTTAAATAAATGCGAGCCTTGCTGCGACGCGATAAAGTCCACTTTATCGATTTATTTTTGCGAGCTGAATTCCAATTCAGCTCGCACAGCACTACGTACCTACAATTTTATTCACCTACAAGTTTTGTCTCTTTCTATCGCGTGCCTCTGAACTCTTCTTACGCTGTTAGGGTTGCTGTCTAGTGAAAAAATAATTAATCTTCTTATATGTAATGAGGTACGTATGTAGCATTCATGACTCATACGCATTCATTATGGAAAACCTTGGGAGAGGCCTTTGTCCAGGTGTGGACGTCATTTGGCTGAAACGAACGAACGCATTCTGAGCAGTAGATAGTCATGGTAGGTTAGGTTCCTATCTTAGATTAATTATTGGCTTTATTAATCTAAGGTTCCTATACTATCCTAAGAATTATTGATTACCTACATGGATAACATACCTTTCAGCATCTCTGGGAAGCGAAAAAAAAGATAAATCCGGTAGATTTCTTTTCGAATTTAAATACACGAACGCCGCACAATATTTCTTTCTCTTTATGTCCATTTTTAAATAATACTTCGATCAGGTACGTACTACAACGCACGCCAGCGTCCTGACGGGCGCGCGCGTGACACTCGACTGATATAATACCCGCCGGCGGGGCGCTTCGCTGTAGGTAATTATCGGATGTACCGCGCGGAGTGAGCCAGGCCTGACAAAACGCACCGAGCGCGGTTTGTATGTGAGCGCGCCAATATACGTATACGGCGCGCGCGCACACACTGACAAAATTCGACCACGACTGGCTCCCCGCTAATCCCCGCTAAATTTTGTCAGTGTGTGCGTGCGCGCCGCATACTTGTTGGCGCGCTCACATACAAACCGCGCCCGTGCGTTTCTATGAAGATGACCTACTCATTTGTATTTACTCTGCTTTAGCCTAGCATTTGATACAACGATAAAATATTGATCAATTCATCATCATCATCATCATCAGTTCAGCCATAGGACGTTCACTGCTGAACATAGGCCTCCCTCAATGATTTCCATTTTGATGGATTGGTAGCGACCTGTGTCCAGCGCCTTCCTGTTACAATTATTCATTAAATAATGAATACCTATCAATAAAGACAGATTGTTTTAATTTCAACATCTGAGGTTAGAAAATCGATTTCAAATAGGGCAGTTCATAACACTAATAAATTGATTTAATGCACTTTTTTTAGATTTTATATGGCAAGGAAATCAATAACTTCAGTTTAATAATTTCAAACCCCTAAAATATAATTTTAAGCTACAATAAGGTGTTTTTAAAGAGGTAGTATCTTGGAATTATTGATGATTGGATTGTGTCAATTAACCAAAGTTGCAGTTTTCTTTTTTTTTACCAAAATCGGCCTTAAAATATCTTGTATTTTTTCCATTCCTTATAGTTTCGGATGTGATATTCTGTCTACTGTTACTACTATAGTCTGCTCTGCGAGCACGTAGAATTTTGTCCAATGACCCCAAGCTACCCATCCTTATCGCTCGCGCGTAATGAGGGCTATCGTTTTTATACTTAACAGTTGGCACCCCTGGCGATTGACAGGACCTTACTCTACAGTGGCGCCATCTTGATGAGTGCAAATGCGATAGTCCTCCTACCACTTTCGCGCTTACCAGTTGGTGCCACTGTCTTCGCTACTAGCAAGTGACAGGACCTTACTCTACAGTGGCGCTAACTGGTGAGCGCTAAAACGATAGCCCTCATTATATTGCTGTCGCGACTGTGCGACGGGCGCCCGCATTGAGTGTGCGAGCGCGACAGCAACATAATTACGCGCGAGCGATAAGGATGGGTAGCTTGGGGTCATTGGACAAAATTCTACGTGCTCACAAGCCGGGCTTTACACAGCAAACCTAACATTTTGTCTTGACCCCACCAGGAACGGAAACTGCGGCTACCTGCGTACGCGGCAAGTCTTCCGCGCCTGCGCCGAGCAAGACGCGCTGTGCGGAATGTTGCATTGTCGACACCTCAACGAGCGATTAGAATTTGGCATGGAATCCGTAGCTCAGTTACATGCAGTCTTTATCAATAATAATGGTGAGTTATGATTAATAATAAAGTCCGGTCGCCGAGCGAATTTGCGACGGGCCGCCGCAGTGAGTGTGCAAGTGCGACAGCAATATAATTACGCGGGAGGTATAAGGATGGGTAGCTTGGGGTCATGGACGAAATTCTATCTGCACGGCGACCGGACTTTACATGTATACTAGCAGGCCTGTTTATCTCTCCAAGGCGTCGAAAACAAAACACGCGCGGCGTACTCGCGGGTTTAATCCACGAGGGATTCACGAGCGAAAATTGTAAAAAAAATCGCTATGGTAAAATATGCGTGTGGTGCGCTAGATAGCGACATAGTAGCTTCTTTTGGCGGTCAGCCCTATCGCATCGGCACAGTACCGTGATCGGTGTAACTGCGGCTACAAGTGCACGTGGCAAGCTTTCCGCGCCTGCGCCGAGCAAGACGCGCTGTGCGGAATGTTGCATTGTCGACACCTTAACGAGCGATTAGAATTTGGCATGGAGTCCGTGGCTCAGTTACATGCAGTCTTTATCAATAATAATGGTGAGTTATACACACACAATCTACATGAATCACTAGTTGTTGCGCGTTACGCCAGCTAAATTATCTGCGACCATTAAAGTCTGCGGGATGTTACGCTGCCGGCATCTAAACGAGCGATTAGAATTTGGCATGGAGTCCGTGGCTCAGTTACATGCGGTCTTTATTAATAATAACGGTACGTCACGTTATACAATCTACTTTCTAGCCACACGCAGCTCCCTTTACAGAAAACTACACAGCTCTCTTCTTAGAAACATAAACCTCTGCGGCATGTGGCAAAAAAATGTTGCACTGCAGACACCTCAACGAGCGATTAGAGATTGGTATAGAGTCCGTGGCTCAGTTACATGCGGTCTTTATTAATAATAATGGTGAGTAACACTAAACAATATGTAGCTACAGGTGGTCACACGTAGCTTTTTTCATAGAAACAAATCTGCGGCATGCAGTCTTATAAAAACAAAACGTCACTGACTGACTCGATTCATCACGAAATCTCAGAAACTACAAGTGCTAGGAGTCTCAAATTTTTCATGGGGGTTCCATTTAGAACAGCGGTTCCCAAACTTATTTTGTCTACTGCCCACATTGAGAATAAATTCTTTTTAGCGCCCCCATTTGTAGTCGAGTGTTCAGTCGGTGTCTAAGAGTCCTCCTAGTAAATGACGCCTCCCAAGCCCCTACACAACGTCCCGATTTTTTTTCTGGGTCTCTTACCGCCCCCCTTTAAGCCTGCAGCGCCCACAAGGGGGCGTTATCGCCCACTTTGGGAAAGACTGATTTAGAACGATGCTCACTAAGACAGGATTTTGCAAAATTTTACCGATAGGCCCTTAGGTCCGGGCGGCCGCTAGTTAATAATAATATGTAGATACTAGCAGGCAAAGCCTGAAAACAAGGAGAGGCGACCCCAAATATTAGGAAAAGCTATGCCTGTTCATCTTCCCGAGTAGGCATCGAAAACAAAACACGTGCGGCGTACTCGTGGGTTTAATCTACGAGGGATTCACGAGCGAAAATTGTAAAAAAAATCGCTATGGTAAAATATGCGTGTGGTGCGCTAGATGGCGACACAGTAGCTTCTTGTAGCAGTCAGCCCCATCGCATCGGCACAGTACCGTGATCGGTAGGATGGTTAAACATATCTATACATTTCAATTATACTTATGAAAGTTATTTGTTGTAGAAAAGAAAGAAAGATTAATAAAATTATCACTCTCACGGGATTTTGCAACAAACACTTTTATAACGGTAAACGGATCCCTCCCGACGTTTCAACTCGGTTGCACGAGTCATGGTCGCGGGCAGACAGAAGAGATGCGTCGTCTGCTCAGTCGCGATGAATTTTCTTCACCCACCCGCATTTGCACAATATTTTTAAGAATTAATAATGTTTGTTTGTTGCAGGCAAAATAATTCCGTGTCGCACTGCCATCATAGATCTGGGGCTCAGCGATGTGGACCCCGGTATGGTGCCGGACGGTGCCAAGTGCGGGGACGATAAGGTAAGAATAAATCATATTTCATTTTTTTGTTCATTAGTTGCAATGTAACGACCATTGCTCGTCGCAGTTCCTCACGGGACATGGCAACTTTAAACATAAACTTCACGAATTCAAACTAGTTCCGTCTCCTTTTTGCGAGTGTTCCACTGATGATGTCAGTCATGAGCAGTCTGCCCATCATATCTTGTGGGAGTGTGATCTTTGGAAACATGAACGTGATATAATGCTTAATTCAATACAACATACATCTGTTTCCGCAATTTATTACACCGATCTTGTCGCGACAAGGAAAAATTTCCGTGCTTTTAAGCGATTTTGTGAAAAATATTATTGGCAGGTAGTTGCTAATTGCTCATAAGATAGGCCCCCTTAATTTAATTTATTGTCCGTGGTGCATAATCTTTTTCTTAAAGGTTTTAAACCTTTGTTTGTCACCTGTCATCCGCTTTGCAATGGAGGGAAGTCGAACCTTAATTTCGAACTCCTCCTATGTTCTTCTGATTAATTTCGTTGCGGGTCCAATGACAGTTTAACTTTCCCCCGGGACAAACTTGACCTTCATTGGTTGGGTTTTTGTGGCGGTCAAGCTGTAGATCCTGGCTACACAGGAGTTGCAGTTGTTTGTTACGCGATAACTCCGCCAATTATGAACCGATTTGAACAAATCTTTTTTCGGCGTATAGGTAATACCTCAAGGTTGGTCCCATTTAAATTTAATAATAGAAAAAACAACCCCCAAGGGTGGAAAATTGGGGATGAACTTTTTTATACGCAATATCTCCGCCGATTATAAATCAATTTGAACGATTATTTTTTTGTTGAATAGGTATTATCAAAAGGGTGGTTTCATGCGAATTTGAAGAAAATATTTCACCCCCAAGGGTGGAAAATTGGGGATGAACTTTTTTATACGCAATATCTCCGCTGATTATGAACCAATTTGAACGATTTATTTTTTTGTTGAATAGGTATTATCAAAAGGGTGGTTTCATGCGAATTTGAAGAAAATATTTCACCCCCAAGGGTAGAACTTTGTTTTAATTTTTAGTTTTTTAATGTGTTCACGCATTTGAAGTCGGTTTTATTTTTAAAAAAAGTTAATTATTTCATTGTTGCTCCTTATTTATTTATGAAGGCAAACTCACGGGGCGGAAACAGTGTTACATAAAATAATTCGAAGGTTGGATAGTTGACACCGCTAGTCAACATACTTATCTTATAAAAACGTTTTTCCTCCGTATAGTTTGAGCAATTAAAACCTATTACCTATATCACTTGCGGCGCAGTACCGGTCTTTGTGGAAATCCTTGGGGGAGACCTTTGTCCAGCAGTGGACGTCTTTCAGCTGAAACGAACGAACGATATCACTTGTTCGCCAACTGTAACCAATTTTTTATTGATTTTAAAGAAACTTTTTTTCTGAAACTGCATTGTTTTTTAGAATATTATGATTATTCGTCAACTACCTTATTGTGTGACATTTTACATAACTAATAGATCCATGGCATAACCATTCCATGTTCTTTCTACCAGATGTGCCTGAACCAAAAGTGTGTTAGCGTTCAATCAGTAAGAGACTCGCTAGCGGCGCGCGACGGCACCGTCTGTCCATCCAACTGCTCGGGCCACGGCGTCTGCAACTCCGAAGGTAAATAGCTAAGGGAACATTATACTACGTCACCTATTTAGGGGGTCTAAAGCCCATTTTCACCATCAATTCCTAATTTTGTTTACATAGGGGTCACTTAAAAATTAGGAATTAATGGTGAAAACGGGCATTATGTTTTCGTCACGTAGTCAATATCCTCAAAGAAAATCTTGCGTTTTTTCGACCTATATTCAAATATTGCAAACAGAATTAAGTGCATTTTAAACTCACGGGCATTGACGGACATTATGTTATTTTGTCCACAACGGACTAGTCTGGCTTGCATTTCACCGAATGGAATCACTTTGATGATCAGGCCGAAGGTGAAAACGAGCACCCGGAATCTTCGACCACAGAGGAACTAGTTATCTAACCTCTAACTTTTGAAACAATAATATCAACTAAGGTTGGGTTGCACCATTTGACTTTGACATTTACAAACGTCAAAAATCTGTCAAACTCCATTCAAAAAACACCGGTTATCGATATTGCCACTGTTAAAGTTAGATGGTGCAAGTCAGCCTAAGTGTTATGAAGACAGACTTGGTGCTCTTCCAAACGGACGACGGCCGTCAAAGACGTCGTCAAAGAGCCCACAAGTAGATAATAATGTTGTTTCAGGCCACTGCCATTGTGAGCCCGGTTTCGCGCCGCCTCTCTGCATGCTGCCTGGTCCGGGAGGCTCCTACGATTCGGGCCCAGCTACCGATCCTAGCCGTAAGTATTCATACTAAAAAGACACAGAGCGGATCTAGAAAACGGATCACAGCGGATCAAAAAATATAAATATCTTTATTTGTTTGGACTACTTAAATACTTCTTGTAAATCTTCAAAATGTTGTTCATGTGGTCTATGGCTGGTTGTAGAATCGCGCTGACAGCTCGCTGATCGTCGGCGCTGACTGATCAATATGTATGTAATTGGCTACTTGCCAATTTTCTGAAATATTTTTATAATTTTTGTAGTCTTATTTTAAACCCCCTACAATGAGGATCATTTCGATTTTTAGCTGTGAATGCAGATTTATAGGGCTAAGAAATCCTTAATACACAGTGCAAAAATTTTTGTTCTACGACAAAAATTGACGAAGTTATGGCCAAATTACTAAAAAAGTTCACTGACCGCCCGGCGCGGGGACGATGACGTCATTATATCCGATCCGAACGCTGCCGGCGTACTGCGTGGATAGAAAATATTTTTTTCTAGCCAAATTATCAGTTTTAGAGAAAAACTTGTAATGTTATTTATTCATCAGAATAAAGTAAGCTATCGATAGGTAATTTTTAAAAATGGAAATTGTGAAAAATAACGCAAAAAATCCATACGCTCATACGATTCAATGGCACGCAGAGACGCGATTGGGGTCTCCGCGGTGGTATATTTGGCGATTTATTCAAATAAAGTGTACATAAGTGTTGTTAGAGTCATATCTTCTTCCAAGTAAAATATAAAAATGTATAAGTATTAATTTATTTACTTCTAACAATAAGGTATAACTTCTAACAATATGACATTGCTATGAAAATCATTTCGATGTACACTTAATAAAAAAAGAACTTGTTTTATAATTTTCTTAATTTCGTCATTTATTCTGCATTTTAGTATTCACACATGCAGACGGAAGCATTTTTAGTTTTATTTGTTTAGACTGTATAGAATTAAATGACATTATCATCATACAAATATCATTTTTTAGTCCTGCTGACAAGGAACCCTTAATATAGTTTCGATATGTCTGGCTGTCTTGGAAACTATTGGCACTAGGGAGCTGTAATTTTGTAGAGGTATGTATATTAATCACGCCGACAAAACGGTAGAATAAAATTTTGAAAAAAAAATTTTTTTTTAGGGTAGCTCCCCTACATGTAAAGTGGGGATGATTTTTTTTTCATCTTCTACCCCATCGTGTGGGGTATCGTTGGATAGGATTCTTTTAAAATGGCTTAGGGGTTTCTAAGACCATTTTTCGATTTAGGGATCCGTTTACAAAATGTTAAAGTTTAAAGTGCCAATTTTTGTCCGAGTAGGGCATCCCCCCCGCTAAAAACTAAACTGTTGGCCTTGATAAATCTGGAAAAATTCAAGATTATAGTGCCTTTTATGAACTTTCAAGGAAAACTATAGCTGTTAAGATAGACCAGTTAGTTCAAGAGTAATAGTCGTTTTACTCATGTATTATAAAATTTCATACCTAATAAAAATTCCTTAGAAGAAAATATTATAAGTGACTTTAGATGAAGTAATTGCTTACTTCTGAAATATATTGTGATAACGACGGACAACTACGTAACCCTACACTGCGCGTGGCACGACACGCACTTGGCCAATTTTTTTACTTAAGATTTAACCCAGTTTTCTGGCAGACTATTTCTCTATTTCTTGTGGAAAAAAATACGTGATATTTCCCGAGACCCCCCCTCTCCCCCACGTGAGATTTGGTGAGGTTTTTGTTGACCCCCTCCCCCCCCTAAAAGCCTCACGTAATTTATGGACGCCCCCTAAACTACCTTTAAAGACAAAATCTGAAGATCTGAAATTAAAAACATAACCTATAAGTTTGATATAAAGTAGCTATTTGATTTACTTAGGAATTATAATATACAACAGCTTGTACAAAAATAATGTATTTTATTTCGGTAGGTACTTACACGGAAGTTTTTGCATTCTAAAACTCACCACAACAAAAATTAGGATTACAGGCAGAGTGCGATCATAAACGCATCGATTCTAGGCAAGTTTGCACTATCCGCTTTAATATAGCCTGACTCCATTTCCTGAAATGTTTTAAACAGCACTAATTCAAATATTTGAGCGATTTTTGTTTACTTTTTTCAGTAAAGTAAGAACAAATAGCGACGTAACCTACGATTATGGACTAATAAAACTTTGGTTTATTAAATTATGACGTCATACGATGATCAATCATGGCGGCTCCTTGTCAACCACAGATAGAAAACTCAGATTTATTTTCCAAAAATAAAATATTAATAATTTGTTTTAATGCAAAAAACGTACTGTATGATTATTATTTACTTAAAAGCTACCTTATAAAACATATTTCATATTTTATTGTTACAACTGTCAAGTAGCGAATTGAAGGGAACGTTCCTGAGTGATGCTGATCGCGCGGCGCCGACGCTTCATACATTTCGGCTGTCAGCGCTGACGGTCAGCGTGCGTCAGCGTGACTCTAAAACCAGCCTATACATGTGTCATTATTTTTTGCATAGAATGACGAAAATCGATTGTATAGTCCGTGCACTATAGGAAAGTGCCATATATGACCAAGACAATCAGCTATCCCGCGGGACTACTCAATCTTCACTGGTTGGGGTTCGTTATTGAAGGTTAAAATAACAGATAAAGCCTGGTCCGTGAGCACGTAGAATTTTGTCCAATGACCCCAAGCTACCCATCCTTATCGCTCGCTCGTAATTATGTTGCTGTCGCGCTCGCACACTTACTGCGGGCGCCCGTCGCACAGTCGCGACAGCAATATAATTACGCGCGAGCAATAAGGATGGGTAGCTTGGGGTCATTGGACAAAATTCTACGTGCTCACGGACCGGGCTTTAGTATTGGTGGGGATATTCTGACGTAAATTATTATGAAAATGTGGATTTACCGTCCAAAAAGACTACCATTTTAACATAGACTCAAAATTTTGTAACTAGTACTAGTCAACTAACAAAAACCTCTTTTTCTAACAGTGCAAAGAAACTTCATGGTGGCGATGTACATCATATTCCTCGGCATCATCCCGCTGATACTTCTAGTGCTGTTCCTGCTATACTACTCGCGACGGAACGTTCTGTTCTGGCAGCAGAAACCGAGGAAATCGTACGTATTCTATGAGACCACGAGGAATCTCTTCAACAAACACCTATCGATGCCCAAGTTTGGTCACAGCACATCACTACGCAACCTCATTGGCAATAAAAATAGTACTGACAACGAAAGTAGTCCCGATATCAAAAATAACACTAAAGATACCAAAACTAAATCACTTTGTACCAATACCAAAAATATTAAAGATACCATAGTTAAAGTACCATGCACAGATATCAAAATTACCACTAAAGATAAAACTATTTTACCTTGCCCTGATACCAAACAAATCACAATCAAGCCAAAAGTAGTAGAACAATGCTCGATACCGCTAATCGATTCCAAATCGGATGCGAACGAAAAAACGAAACCGGTCTATCACAAAATACTGCACTTAAAACATAAATCTCAAAATAAGAAGACGCTTAAAAAACTAGACAGGAAAATTAATAAGGACGACATAAAAATTGCGAGCGTAGTCGATATTAGGGAGGTAGTCAAACCACCTGTGAAACCGAAACCGAAGCCGAGCGAAAGTAAACCTAATGTCACTATCGTTAAGGCTGGTTTAACATCGACGACGAATGAACTGATTGCCAACATCAAAAATAGGTCGCGTTTGCATAGCATTAAAAATGAAAAATAATTTGACCTAATTTTTGGATTAAAATAATATTATTTTTATCACAAATACAACATTTTGAGAAGCTATAAAATATAATAAACATATCATATTGTGATTGTTGTAGATATGGAAGTTTTTATAAACTGTTCGACTTATTAGTTTTTAAATAGATGTTTACCCAAAGGTAGATCTCACTGATACTTCTGGTTTGTTATAAATTACAAAAAATATTCGAATGAATAGAGATTATTTTAATATAATAAATATAATTATTTAAATAAGACTTTATTGAATAAATACTCACACTAGTTTTAATTTACCAAACGTGCTCATTATAGTCTTAGCGTGTTTTATGTTTATGTTGCATTGTTACATTTATACTTGTGTTTAACAAGCTCCGAAACTGGTTCATTGATAACTCAATGGTGCTGGAAGGAGAGTACCTCTAGCATGAACAACTATCGTCTTCGAATCGTTTGCGTACCTATTCGATAAAATTCGAAACTCAGCCTTCGAACGAATTCAACGACAACGTGACAATTTTTATTGTCAAAATTAGTTTCGTGCTACCATTTCTCATACTGAGTGTTCACTTCACGTCACTTTCTTTTCATACTAAATCTCTTGATGGTGATTCGAATACGCAAACGATTCGAAATCGAAAGTTTTTCGTGCTAGAGACACTGACTTGGTTACGTATTAGCATTAGAATTCCGAAATTATCAATACAAAACCGTATATGACTCCTGCACAATTTTAGTAAATTCATGTTTTTGAAATTGAACTCTAATGCTCAAAACATACGTATCCTGGTCACACTGATCACATAATGCTAATTCAATTGGGTGTTTGACACCACTAATCGATAATTCTAAGACTTCTTTAAAAACATTCCATTCTGGCCCCTGTACCAAGTCAGTTTCAATTTTCTGCAGTCAATATTTGATTGGTGACGTCAACTACCCTTACTCATTGGTTATGGTTTTGATGCCACGTCTGCACATTGGTTATGGGTTTTATACTACGTCTACACATGGGATTGTATTATGTTCATGCTAAGTTTTAAATTTGAATGGCTGGCATGGTGTACTAAAGAAGAAAATAATGTATAAACAAATTATACTTAACGACATAGTACTCGTATTATTCACGAATACAGTGGTATTGATTGGCCAAAATTCACACGGTCTAAGCCATGGTCAAAATACTTATAAAAATGACAAATATTCCACACACTGTTTTATTTATTTTAGTGCAAAAACCAAACCAATGTGTTGACGTGGTATGGTGTTGTAATAGTACCTAGTTGTAGATTGTGTTCATGATTTTATTTCTTCTTCTTTCTTTTATTAACTGTATTTGCACAAATAAATATTATAACTTATTTCTTTTTCTTTCTTTCTATTAATATCTCTTCCTTTTTTCTTTAACCAAAGAAGTTTATACCATTTTAGAGATTTTACTTTAGTTGTTTCCAACAATTTATAAAATCTTGTGTTTTTAAACCATATTGAGTTAAAAATGGTGTAAATTTTCTTTAAAATGTTGCCAGTTCAATAAATACCAAATATTTAGACTGGCAACATTGTTTCTATGTAGAATGTAGATGGTGCTTGTTTAGTGCATCTTTCTTGGTGAGTGGTTTATGGGTTTCGCTTTTGCATGGTAGAAATGCATTATAAATGTATACTTATCATTATTTATGCTTATACCAAAAACAACAAATGAATGCACCTTAAAAATTAAACCACGGTTTAACTTAAAAAAATTAACATGCATGCATGATGTTCAAAAAGATACAATCAATCACACTAACTTTAGGTACTCTCGCAATATCTTTATTCAAACGTTTTACAAATGTCTGACCTAACACACAAAATTTTCTCTAACACAATTTCCCAGTAAAGGTGTATTTATATTGCTACGTGGTATACGACATTTACATAACAAAAAATAGGTCGCGCATCAAGAGTTGAGGCTATTATAGTTCCAAAATACTGAACTGTCCTATCAATGACATTGACAGTGGGGCGCCACCGTAAATACCGGATCGCTGGTTCCGATTTTTGCCATGTTGGAAACCATTTAGTTGAACGATGGTAGCGCCCCCCTGTAATTGAGTTTGGTGGGACAGTTCAGTGTGGGTCATCTATGTCACACTTTTCGCGCTGGACGTCTTGAGTATTCTTACTGATTTGTGTGTTCTATATTAAAATATCACTTAAGTTTGAGTATGTGTTCGTCTCAACTTTTGTTGCGCGACCTATAAACGTCACGTGCCAATGTAGATATACTTAAATAAAGACCACTACATTAACACCAATCTTATCCACAGGGTCCAGTCTCCCAAAAAGGCGAGTCTCCAACAACGGCTGTCTCGTAGCGCTAGCAAGTTCGCTTCCAACTTCCACAATAATTCGCCTCATGCGCCGCAACCAGCCGTCCACACTGTTGCCAACCCTGACGATATGAGCTCCAGTCTCCTACGCTGTGATAGTGATCGCAGCCCTGCTGGAAACCTCAACCCGTCGGTCAACTTCTTCGGAAACTTCAAAGGGTTCTCTCTAACTCCCATAGACAAAAACCCAGCTGAGACAGAAAAACCGGTCGAAGCGAAAAGCGCGAAAATCACCCCAGTACATAGAAGCGGCAGTAATAGCCAAAATTTAAACCACGGCGTGCTAAAACCGGTTCTGCGAACAGCACCTCCCTTGCCCGTTATACCTACAACAGCTACTAATAAATCTAGTCCGACGGTGAAAAGAACGAATAGCACAGTCCAGAACAAATTAAAACACTTCATGGCGCCTGAAAAGGCTGAAGAAACATCCCAGCAGACTAATCCACCGCCTCGCCCGGTCATATCCAGCCCGATTCTGGAAGCGTCTACATGCACTGCTAAGGAACTCATCTCACCACTACAAGGATCCAAAACCTTAGGTCCAACTAGAGCTGCCCCAACTATTCCTCCCACGTCCCCTGCATTACCCAAAAGACCACTCAGTATGCACTCCGGGACTGTCCCCCAAAAACCTTTACCAGAAGAACCAAAAAAAGTCAAAGAGGGTATATCGCTCAATCGAATAACCTCCTTCCTGAAACCCGACAAGCCGAAAGAAAAAGAACGTAACCCAGTCGAGCGAAGCCACTCGCTTCCCAAAAATCCGAACCACCAAATCAAAATCGCCAAAAACGTCGACAAAACCGCACTGAGAAACCTGCAGATATCGAACCCGATTCTGCAGAAGGAAATAGACTTGCCAGTGAATACAGTGCCGGTGGTCTCCGATTCTGAGGACGGGGATGATAATAAGGCGTTTGTGAATAGAGCTCAGAGTATGCGTGCGCCGGCGTCTCAGAAACCAGCTATTCAGAGCTTTGGGTCTATGAGGCAAGCGCCTGGTGTGCCCAGGCCATTGTCCATGGTTGGAAGACCTACTGCCCCACCCCCGCCGGCGCCACCATTGAACAACGAAAGCTCCATTTACCAAAACCCTAAGCCAGTCAACGAAACAAAATCCGTCGACTACGTAGACTGCATCGAAGAGAAGCAAGCACCCCTCGCGCATATAGATGAGGAATCAGGAGATAACATCTACGCCATCATCGAAGAAAGTCCAGAAAAACATTCGAAACCACTGCCGGGAGTTCCCCCACCACCGACTAAAACGCTCCCGCAACCGCCACCAGAAGGTTACATAGCTCCAAAGCCAATTCCCTCGAATTCGGGAAGCACGGACAGCATGGGACTCCTAGGAGAGATAGTCAATGAAATACAAAACCGTAATTTCGACTCCATATACTCCGCGTCGACGCTTTCGAGAAAAAAGGGCAAAAAGGAGCAGGACACAGAGAAAAGAGACAGCACATACACAAACGCTGACAATTATAGAGCTTCAGAGAGTGTGTACAGTAATTCAGGGGCGAAATCAAACGCTTCTACAACCAGTAGCGGATATTTACACCCTTCGGCGGTCAATGTGCCGACGTACCTGAACAAAGACAGCGAAACGAAAGAACCGGAGAAGGCGCCTCCATCTCCCACGTCTAAAGTGAACTCAAAAATACCAACCTTCGCACGTCAGGTGACGCCGCCCGGCCTGCGAACCACCACGTTCAGAAACGTGCCGCAGTCGCCGAAAGCGACCAAGAATTTGAACGCGAACCAAAAGATATCGAACAGTCCCGATGTCGTATCCAGCTGCTCAGTCGCAGACACTAAAAATGTCAAAGCGCCAGACGTTATAAACAACAACAAATTGCCTAACGACACGAAAGTGACAACTAAACCCTCAGTGGTCGCCAAACCCAACGACAATAGGCCGCCTCTGCGACCAGCGCCCACGGTGGATAAGAAACCTACAACGAAACCCGCCCCTGTGTTGAAACCTGTAAATTCGTCATCTAACCTAAACAAAAACGACAAAAACCAGCCAGTTTACAGGGTCGGTTCCAAAGTGGACATGAACGTGAAAGCTATCGCAGACAATTTAAACAAAAACAAACCTAAAGTCGTGCCCAAACCGACGACATTAGTACAGAGGTCAGATTCAGGGAAGGCTACGGCTCCCAAACTGTCCGCCAAACCCTCTAACGTAGCAAGTTTACAACAGAAATTCGAAAATAGAAAATCGCTGGGAAAAGAAATTACGACTGCAAAGAAATAGTTAATTAGCAAATTGACGATTTAATCGAGGAATTAAACCTTTGACCGAATGAATCGGCCATTTGAACCTACAGACTGTAGAAACTAAACTCGTCGCATCGATTAGTTTAATTTCAATAAAATATGATGCAACGAGTACAAACACCATTTTGCAAGAAGGATATTGAAGGTATAAATTTCTCTAGTCGATAACTATTATTAAAGCCATTTGAATATATTATGGGCTATGTATGGTCATAGTAGCTTACTAACTTGGCAATGATCGAACTCAATTTTGAAACCCTCTAAGGGCGATAAATGAACTATGAAACGGTATATTTTTGTAACTATATCAGTTATTGCATTTCACTATATTTCGCTAGTAATAAAAGAAGTGTTCATGTGTTAATATGGTTAGAATTTTATTAAATGTAGTCATAATAATAGAGAAATAATAACTAAGGTGTGGAGTGTATTTTTATATAGCCATTAATTTTGTCTGAAGCAAAAACGGATTAACTACTACTTAAATAGTTAAGTTTATTTGCTACTATTGTGGTTTTTGCTCAACGAACAAGACAAAATGATTTTGCAATTTGAATCTCTCATTTGCTGTTTTGTGAGAAAATGACGAAATTCAGCGATTTATTATAAGTGCTGGTAAATACAACCTGGGCGAGTTAACTGCACACCTAGCGGCCATGACGTCACAGCGACGCTCTGGTATGGACAGGGCAATTGCGGGGAGTTGTGATGTGCATGTGGATTGAGTGATCCTTGCTTCAATCTTAACAAAAATCGAGGAAGTTTTACTTAAAATATGTTAAAACGTTGCGATGAAGTTTAAAAATTTGTTAAACCTAAGATAAAAATGTTATGGCCAATAAATAGTCATTATTTTGAAGAGCACTCATACGGCCCGTGTGCGGTGTGAGTGATCCTAAATAATCGTCATAACTTTGGAACGGGACGTGCAAGGAATTTCTGAATTTGTTAATAGTTTTAACATATTCTTAACAATTTTTCAATACTATAAAAAGAAGTGGAAAGGCTTTATTTTCTGAAATAAACATGTTGACGTTTTCTTAAAGCGTGCGGTATGAGTGCTCCTATTTATTGGCCATAACATTTTTATCTTAGGTTTAACAAATTTTTAAACTTCATCGCAATGTTTTAACATATTTTAAGTAAAACTTCCTCGATTTTTGTTAAGATTGAAGCAAGGATCACTCAATCCACATGCACATTTGGTTATTCATAGCTTGTATGAAGTCCCGCATTATATTCTTCGACGAGTTACTACGGCTTTTTGCTCTTCTAGAGCGATCTTTTGAAGCGTGTCTACTCCTCGAACGAGACGGACGATATTGCGACCTCGAACTACGACTTCGTGTTCTTCTAGAGCGGTTCTTCGAAATGCGTCTCTCTCTTGAACGGTTTCTACGGTCGGATGATAAAGAACTATCACCGGATAAAGATCTACTTGCGGAAGACGACGTCTCCGTAACTGAGTAGTGCCGGCGATAATTTCTGCGACGGTCGGCCTTCCTCCCATCATGATGCATGCGCTTGGAGCTGTGACGGTAACGACGTCTCCTCGTATGTAGCTTCCTTGACGGCGAGCGACTCGTCCTGCTAGAGTGGCTACTGGTAGGACTACTAGTGTCCCTGCGCTTGTCCCCAGAGTGTTTGTGAATAAACGAAGATCGTGACCGATAACGTTTCATCGGTACGTTCGAGGAGGTCGTAATATCACTTTTACGTTTGTCCGATCTGCGACTATGAATTGGTGATGCATGTGTAGGTGTGTATCTGCTTTGATCAGTGTCCGACATTTTTATAGCTACGTCTAAATACANTATCAAAAAATACTCTACTCGTATTTTTCACTTTTTCAAACTAATGAAAATTTAAAGAGATAAAGCGCCCCAAAGTTCATAAGAAGAGGCCCGTGACGTCAACGCTTGCTTAAAAATGCCGCACGTTGTGACGTCGTGCGCAACTTCAACGCACCATAACTATGTAATTATTTGTTAGATTGACAAATAAAATTATACGTGTCCAATATTTTTTGATATTAAACATTACGGACTAAAAAAATTTTTTTAGGCAACTAGCCTATTGCGGGGAGTTGTGCGGGTGGGCGAGGGAGAGTCGCATTCCAGCGTGGTGCGCAGTTAGCTTGATCGGGTTCCTTCAAGGTGATTAAGGACAAAACATATTTTTCGTAGCTAAACACCGTGTGATATTAAAATATGTGGCAAATATTGTCACCGCACACTTATTAGTCAAACAGTGACAGTGAGCAAGCTTTATGCCTGTTTACCACGAGAACTTGACTTTTTTTACATACGGATGAAGAAGTCAGCGCTCTATAAACCTGATCATAATACTATGTTGATAAACAAAGGCGACTGAGTTTCTTCCGCCACTTCTTCTCAGCACCAGCCCATATGTTGTCCCGAAGTGGTGGTAGGGCAAGCTATATTTGGGACGTGTAAGTGCCCTGGAAAGGGCCTAAGTATAAATGTGTGATTTTAGACAAAATATGCGAGAAATAATATAAATAGATCTCTGTAAATATTATTCGTAAATTCGTTTAGTGATAAAATCGATCAAAATTTAGAGGTGTCTTATTGGAAATGCTTATTTGTATTTTTGTAAACAAAATGAAACTAGATATTTGAGATTTCTGTAAAATATAGATTAAGGTTTTAGTATTGCTGCTAAATATTTAATTAGTATATTAATTTATGTATCATTTATCATTAATTTTCAGTAGAAACAGTTTATTATTGCATTCTAACGGCCAGTTACACCGGTTTCTGATAAAGTGACTTTTTCTATCAGATATCTCTATATGAAACCAAAAGTTATAGATTATCTGGCAGATAAGTTAAAACTAATATACTATCAGGAACTTTATCAGCTACTCGTGAAACCGGCTCTAAGTGTCCCAAATAATGTAATTCAAATACATAATTAATTTTTATAACAATACATACTGGTGCTAAATCAATGCGTGTATGCTTAAGCAGTTACTATTTTTGTACAGATGTATAACAGATTTTAAAGAAGGTTATTGATGCGCATTAATAACACCGAGTAGGATTGTTCGTAACGTATTTAAAACAGTGAAACAGAAAGACGTGGTGGTTTACTTACAAAAACATTTGTGGTTCGCTAAGAGTCAAACGGTGACCACGCCCACAAAATTCAGGGCTATCAATTTAGCAGTCACTAGTTGGCGCCACTGTAGCGTAGTAAGGTACTGTCACTTGCTAGTGCTGCCAACTGTTGAGTTTATAAACGATAGCTCCCAAAGTGCCAATATAATTTGGAAGTTGTTCTTAAAAAACGTTATTAACTACTCGGTGTTAATAATGCAATACACATTGTGCATAATATTCGTCCATATAATATTAATCCACTGCCAGCTTGGTACAAAATGTATAATGGTGCTGATACGTCGCAAACGATAAAGCAAAACAATGATTTTGTTCAAACACAATAATCGATTATTGATTGTGATAAAGATAATTCGAATATTTATGTGGTTATATTGCAAAAGGAAAATTATTTTTAAAAATAAATTGCATTATTTACCAAATGAAACTTATATCTTGATTAACATGTTAGTTTTAAATTTAAGACTGATTCTGTGAGTTTTTTGTGGATGAATCATTATGAGAAAAACAGTTAATAATAAAATTTGATTATCATTAGTTTAAATTCATCATAATTCAGTTTTCAGTAAAGGTATATTAACATTTCCATGTGGCTAGTTCCGTACGTGCATTTTGTATGAGACGTAGATACATTTATGTTTCATAAAAAAAGCAACAAACATTCTATCATGTAATTTTGTGAATATACCTCATCTGGTGAAATTAACCCGTAAAATAGAACTAGTTTCACATTTGTTTTCATTAGTTGGTGAATACATATTACATTTTGCTTTTTGTATGACAAGCCACACACCAGTGCTTATTCCGTTGTGATATAAACTGATTTGTTATGTTATTGTAACAAGTCAGATCAACAGAAGTACATAAAATAATTGTAAATATAACCAAAGAAATTTTATGTAGGCGTTTCATGAACGTTATAAATGTAGTTATAGATGAATATTAAAGGCAGCTATTTTGAGGATAATGTAATTAATATTAAATAGCTTTTTGCAAGACTGTGAGACATGTTTTACAAAATTATCTGGATTGCACTTAAGGTTAAGTGAAGGAGTAAAAAATGTTTTTTTTTAATTGTTAAAGTAACGATTGAATAAATCAGATGATTAAACGCGATTTAACAAAAACGTGTTTGCTTTACCCCTATCCCGATCTTATAATGATGAGGCCTGGTATTTCCTTTCTTAGCTAAAACTTAAAAATGTGTTCCTATGCTTACTGCAGTAGCAAAACAACCTAAAGCAGTTGATATTAATAAAAATACTTGAAGAAGAAATGCAAATGCAGGACATAACAGTAATGTCATCAACTATGCAACTCCTAAAGGGAATGTTGGTATTAATAAAATATAATTTTGGTGAATTTGTTTATTACAAATTTTGGCTCTCCCACATTCATTCTTAAACAAATTAAGTTATCACTCAACATTGTAGACTTATATTAATACATAATCTGATAAACTGCCACTATACAGTCTTGCCCAAATTACAAAGATAATGGCAGTTATAGAAAAGTAATATTAATTAATAGGATGACGACATTCCAGACACAATCCGAAAGCAATTGCATTGCATCCAAATCAAGATTGCAGTTGTTAGAACATATTTTGTAGTGAGTGAACACAAGTTTTAATTTGATATAAAGTAATTGTTCAATATAAAAACTGAAATCCAAGTTAAACAAAGTCTACAAGTGGTATTTGTGTAAGTTCTTATAGAATAAACTTATGATAAATTTACTTTCCAGCAGCTGTCGCTAATGGATTTCTAAGCACTAGAATTACAGAATCGCCACGCAGGAACATTTTTGAGATGAACTTGTCCTTATTGACTGCTTTGCCCTGAAATTATTATGAATATTATAAATTTAACATTAAGGATGTAATATTGAACTGCATATTAAAAAAATACTGAGTAGTATTACAAAAAAAAAAACTTAATTAGTGTGGTCCAGTCATCAACAGCACTTTACAGTCCACTGCTGGACTATGAGCCTCCTCCACTATAGTGGAGGGTTTTGCCATAATCTCCACGCTTGGCAGGCGGGTTGGAGATCGCAGTTTAAAGGATTGATGTTTTTCAGAGAGCGCTGCTACCCATTCTCTGTTTGATGTGTAGTCCCTAAGTCGCCTCTTACGACACCCGCGGGAAGAGTAGGGGTTGGTGACAAATGTATTCTACTCTGCCGTCACCACACGGCTAGTGTGGTCCACTCAATGATAAAATTATTTGGTTATATTAAATTTCTTGGCCATCGATTATTATATCTATAAAAGTCCAATCACAAAACAAGGTGGGTAAACAGGCATTGTTGAGAAAAACATAACCTACATTTTGAATAATATTAAGAATACGTAAACAAGTAAAGATGTACCTATTATAACATGAATTACCTTTTTCCCTTTACCGGTCCTGGGTACTTCAGTCCACATTTCTTTTACATTCTCCAAAACCATGTTGCAATGCCGGTCGAAGGCCTTCACACGACCCAGAAGTTTTTTATTGTTTCGGCAATTGATAAGCACTTGTGTGTTGTTTTTCACAGATTGCGTGAGAACCGATAGGGGTCCTGTGCTAAATTCTTCTTCCTCGATCTTCGCCAACTCTTCCAGAGTCATCTCCGAACGAGGTTTAGATGTAGACGCCCTGAAATTAACGACATATATGTTTATAGCGACTTATTGAAGGAAAATACACAATAAACACGTTTGATGTACTCACATAGCTATCTAATTTTAGTTTTCGTAATCGAGCTAAAACCAAAAAACACAAAAATGCTAAATCTGAAAACACGCCGCTTTTCAGAAAAAATGTCAAACAACCTCACCATAGACAAGCCACAGTTTTTTTTGCATACGTGCTCTGTGGTTTTGCACACCGAACAACTTTCCACAAAATAAAAAAGATAGAATTTAGTTTATTAATCATTACGTTAAAATTCAATACAATGTAAGTTTTTATTAATTTTCACCATTCATTTTCATTATTTGTATTTGTTACATTTTGGAAAATAGTTGCTATCATTTTATTGGTTCCTATTGGTTCATGTTTTTATCAGGGGATTTCCGGTAAAAAGTATAAACCTCTTTTATGCTCTTTGGTATAAACAGTAGTTAGTTGTCTATGATTGATTGCCCGGCCGGATTGTGATTATTTTTGTGTTCGTCGTTTGCGACTGTGATTTGCGAAATGAAAATTTGAGCGAATTTCAAGGTATGTAAATCGTAAAATAGTTTTGTAATAATTGTGTGAAGATATGTATATTTCTGGCTAGCGGTCACGATAAATTCAAACCCCGTTTTGCGAACTGCGAGATGTACTTTGTTGTATTAAGTATAACTATTGAACATTTGCCTTCAATTTATGCCTACTAAGTACTAGATTAAAAATCAATACTTTCCCTCCGACCACACCTCCGCAGCTCCGACGCCCCAATTTATTGATGATTAATCTATTGGTCTATACCATGTCGCAAGTTGCGTCGCGCATCTCATCATTGAATATTATCACAATTTGCTTTTTTCATTGTTAGATTTCATGTTGAAGCAAAAAAATACGTAAAACTTCTTATCGCCCTTAGATATTGATCTAAGTTATCGCCTTGATTTTAACATCAGTCTCGTAAGTTAATTATAGTTTTGACTTATTTTTTATTTTATTTATTGAAACAAGCTTTTAGTTGGCCGATAGTCGGGCCCTATTCTAATTTGTTCGAAGAATTGGCCAAATTGGTGTAATAATATGTGCACACTTTCATACATGTCGATATCCAACCCAACTAAAAGTTGGACGTCTGCAGCTATACTAAGCCTAATAATTAGCTAATAATTCATTTTTTTTTAGTTTCAATATGTCGTGGTCGAAATTGCACAAGAACTGCATCATTGCGGGCCCACTAGAAGCATTATGCTTGGTCTGCGAGATTCCCATAAAAACACAGTCCGAACTGGATACTCATGTAGAGGTTGACGTTCATCTAAAAGCCTTAAATGCTGCTCCATATATTGAGAAGTATAAACCTCATAACATCAGAAAGGTAACAAAATTTTTCTTCTTAGATTACTTATTCGTATGCTCATTGTTTTAATACTCTTTGGATTCATTTAGTAATTCAGTATCTTGAAAAATCAAGAAACATTAAGGAACAAGAAATAAAAATGTTGTACAATTACTTAAACAGTGTGCATACATATAACTGTGCGATTTGACTCTACCAACTACAGGTGTCTACTCTTACCTCAGACCGTGCCCACGGTAATACTATCTATACAGTATTCCAACTCGGCCATATTTTTAAAATAAATGTCAACAGCCCCGCTATACGTCGCGGTATAACAACATGCGATAGGGCTGCTCACCTACAGTACCCATTCTAATTACATCTGTCTACTTAGAATTTCTATCTAGTTTTGTGATTGTAATTTTTATTTTATTTAGACAAACAAAATACTTTGTGAATGGAATAGGATAAAAATGCGTGTTGTTTTGTGATTAGTAGATTTAATTTAAAAAAATATACTAAAATAATTTTTGAATCTACTAATCATAAGGAGTACTTAATGACCTGTTACTTTAATTTCAGGCGGGCGAAGTCGTGGGCCAAAGCTGGTTTTATACAATACTAGCTTTCCGCCCGCGGCTTCGCCCGCGTGGAATTTTGTCTGTCACAGAAAAACTTTATCGCGCGCGTCCCTGTTTCAAAAACCGGAATAAAAACTATCCTATGTTCTTTCCCGGGACTCAAACTATCTCTATGCCAAATTTCATCAAAATCGGTTGCGAGGTTTAAGCGGGAAAGCGTAACAGACAGACAGACAGACAGACAGACAGAGTTACTTTAGCATTTATAATATTAATAGTTGGGATAATTTTCATTTCATGACTAGTTATTGACAAATTTGACCGTTTAAGACGGTCAGTCAAATTCAATCACCTTAGTCATTTTCAACACTAGGCCATCGACGTTCGTTCGACACATTCGCGACACCCCTAACTTTTGAATCTTGTCCGCGTCCCGAGATTTGAAATTCGAAGGAAAGCTCGCGTTTTATCGGTTTATATGAAGTTACAATACTGTATGATATTATTACCGTGCCGTGCCTGAGATATGAGAGTGGGGAAATTGACATATTACGATGTGACAGAGCACATATCTAATGTCTCGCTGACATTTGACGTGTCACAAAACACCAGGGTTCGAAATTATCAAGATAATTACACTTCATGATAGGGTCATTTCGCCTGTTCGCGTCCATTTAGTGCAGTTGGCAAGTTTGACGGCGATAATAAAAATGCCCCAGCACTCATTTTTATGACAATTTTGTGTAATGTGTTCATTATNCCTTAAATGGCCGAAAAAAAATTTTTTTTAGATATTGAAACGCATACCCCCTATTTCTTTTCGTACTACTCAGACATACTTAAATACAAAATTTCATCTTCCTATGTCAACATTAACCCGTGCCGACCGAGCTCTGAAGATTTTGAAAAATGCTGGTTTTACCCCTTTCATTATGTAGCTAAATCAATTAAAATATTTAAGTTTTATGAAATATTTATAAAAAGAAGATAACATTACAGATCAGACAATATATTTTACTTTTGAGGGTCCCTTTTTTACATTCTGGATACAGATTTCCATGCTCCTGAATATTGGCCTGATTTTTGCTACACTGTGCGTAGCAAAAATAGCTTTTGCTTTTCCTTTGCAGTGATCAAACCATGAAAATCTTGCATAAGCTTTATAGCACTTTCATCTGTATCATTAACTACCCTTAAAGAAAGCACTTTTTTGCCTTTAAATAGGCAACATCTTTATCTCATCTGGAAACGTGTCTCAGGGGGAAATTCTTATCAATTTTCAATCGAGAAAATAAATTTATACTCTTGACAGACACAAAATCACTCAATGGTTTTCCAGCAACAATAAATAAGGCAGTATTATTATCAATTCATTAAAAACAGGATAAAAAATTAGTACTAAGTCCTATTTACCATAAAAATAATCATACCTTCTTCAGATGGAATGTATCTCTTCCAAGAATCATACATACTCTCTCTTTGTACTTTTACTACAATATTGACGGTGTTTGTTCATTACCTTCATTATCAAAGAGTGATAAAACGGCAATTCTTCTGACATGAAGTACCAAAGATGTTGACTAAACTTGCTCAGGGCTGCTTTAGAAATCAATTTGTCAACACTCTCATATTCCTTTTGGAAAGTGGATGTCAAGAGTTCTTTAAGGTTTTCATCAGAGCTGGTAAGCTGGTCGTGATGTCCTTGCGTTTGTATAGCATCTTGCGTAGATAGTAAGAGATGACGATAAACCTCCGAAACACATTTGCTCTATTTTTTATTTAATTTTCTTTGTCTTGCACTTACTACTCTCTTGACTAACTTTTTGTCTGCACCTTAACACTCTGGACGCCTTGGTTTTATTTGTTTTTGTATAAATATTTTATTTGTTTTTAAATCCTCCTCACCGCGGTGCTTATAAATCTTGATTTATTTTTTATTTTTTATTTTTTTTGCAACTCCCTATAAGCATGGTGAAGATCCGCAAGTTTTTTTACACAGTTAGGCTCTGGTAGGATTTATAGCTTTTTCCAAAATATAATACACTCCCGAATGATGAGATTAGAGCTTTCAATAGCATTTAATTAACTACTGCAAAAACTTGACGATTAACGGTAACTTTGTGCCTGTTATTTGATAAATTTACGTCCCCGACAATACTTTTTTTATTGCTTCTTAATTCCACAGCCATCTTCTAAATGTCAAACAATAGGTGTTAATCGCGAGATTAATTGAGAACAAATGACAAACACCGCGAATACGCACCGCTACTGCCGCGCAACATGTTTCGATGCAAGTCGGCACGGGTTATCGTACTCCAAATAAGGTAAAAATTTATTTCCGAGTGCTTTAGAGGCAAACGAATAAAATGAAGACCTATGCGTTATAAATTTAAAACTTTGAAAAATAAGCGACACCCTACTATGTAGTAATGTGTTATGTATGTATTTTCAACTGTTGAAAAGCATGATAGATCATGCATATTACCTACCGTTGTCATCATGAATTATTATTTGCTCAAGTAATTTTGAAACATCCCCACTTGCAGGTCACATTAGGCTACTACTGTGAGTTTTGCAATCTCGTACTTTGTACTCCTGCAAAGGTCAATCTGCACATTACTATACCAGAGCATGAGCAAAACCGTGGCTTCCTTCTGATTAAGCGAGTCAATGATTCAGTGATCGTGTTCGATGACATTTACATAAATCATAGATCCTGGAATGGCTTTGTGGAAGATACTTGTGCTATATGCAATGTTGAATATTATGATGAGTTGAAACATCTTAACCTGCACAGTCATATTTTCAACTTAATCACAAAGAAAATTGAGTTTTTGGGAGATAACATGGTATACCGAAATGTAAGTATTCGTAATGTTTACTATGTATGTCTTAAAATGAGCTAAATTTTATTGTTTCATCGTACTTGCCACTGTAAACTTAATTATGTATTGTAATTGACTTTCAGATTGATGAAAGTTCTTATCAATGTATGGTTTGTAATCTGGTATTGGCGTCCAGTACCTTATCGACTCACATTGAGCAACCAGGTCATATAAAAATGGTGGAGAAATGTCGCGAAGCCGGTCGTGCCATTCTAAACCTTAAAAGTGGTACCGATCATGCCACAACGAACACTGGCAAGGATGCCGCTCGTGCCACGAGCATTGGAAATGACCCTGGTCGTGCCACGACGAGCATTGGAAATGACGCGGGTCGTGCCACGACGAGCATTGGAAATGACGCGGGTCGTGCCACGACGAGCATTGGAAATGACGCGGGTCGTGCCTTCCTGAACATTTTAAATCCGCCGGAAAAAAAGAAAGCTGACGAAAAGAAAAAAACTGACAGTAAGACTAAGAAAAATGAATCGAAGAAATCCACAAACAATACTTATGTGGAAAATGAAGCATTCATATGCGGCGTCCTGGGTGCTAAAAACTATATCGTCTCGCAGGACGATGGGAAGAGCATGTGCCTACTGTGTGATTGGAGCATGGAGACATCTGCGGCCGCCGCGCACGTGGCAGGTCGACACCATATCACTATCCTAAAAATGCACAAAGAAAGGTTGGACAGAATGAGCAAAGATGAAAATTCTGAGCCAGACAGTGGGAATGCTGGTGGTAGCAGTGCAACTGGCAATCAAAAAGTCAAGCCCGAGCCTAAAGATCAGCTTGATAGTGGAAAAGCTAGCGCTGGAAAGGCAGCTGGCGATGAAAAAGGCAAAATTAAGGAAGCATCCCCTAAACTCCATAAGAACGGTCTAAATACTAACAAGAGTGAGACTAAAGATAAGCCAGAAATTGGAAAAACTAGTGATGAAAAGTCAGCTGAAGAAAAAGGCAAAATGAGGGATTCTTCGCCTAAACTCCATGACAATGGCGGTAATATTAACAAGCCTGAGCCTAAAGATAAGCTAGACAGTGGAAATGCTAGTGGCGGAAAGGCAACTGCTGATGAAAAAGACATTGGAGGATTCTTCAAGGATTCTTCGCCCAAACCCCACAACAATGGTCAAAACGTTAACAAGTCTGAGCCTAAAGACATCTGTAGGCGCCTACCAGAGAGTGAAAATGCTTGTGGTGGCAGTAAAACAGGCGACGAAAAAGACAATATCAAGGAAAACATTGGCATCAACATTGACAAGTCCAACTCTGAAGATGAGCCAGATACTCAAAATGCTTCTGCTGTGACTGCTACTAGCAATGATCGAGACGTAATTATTGATTTGTATGAAGAATTCCAAGCCTATGGTATAAGTGTTAACTTTGTGACTAACATAGCAACATGTAAGAAGTGCTCAAAAACAATGGATCTAAAATTCACTGCAATTCGGCAACATATTAAGGAACACTATGATGCGTTGCCAAGGCCCTTGTGTAGGAAGGCACCAGAAGTGGAAGATGACATACAAAGTTTTTTGGATTTAAATAGAATAATAATGATAGAAGGCGGGGAAAGGCATTGCGAGCTGTGCCGAGTCAACCTCCCCATTTCGTTGAAAAGTGTGAAACAACACGTTAATGGAACGCGGCATCTAAACAATTTAGCAATTAGGAGTGGTAATAATCCAGCGGAGCTAGTGCCCCAATTTCACAAGGTGAAATTGAGAGACTACGTCACTTCAATGATGGGTTTGGAGGACAGTATAAGGAAAGATGTCATTCTCAACGAGAAGTTTGACATCACCATGATGAGTTATTTGTTGATGAGCTCTGTGAGCTTGAGATGTTACATTTGTGATGAGGATCTTGAACGGGGGCAAATTGACGCACATAAGGTGTCCACAGAACACATCACACGTGTGGCCGATTCTAAGGTGCTTGTGTCATTGGAAAATGAGTTTGTGCGAGAGGTAACTCAAATTATTTAACTTAAATTATTTATTTATAATATTTATACTAAATACATTGTTTATTAAAAAAATAAAGAGGCAGTCGACTCAAATCTTAACTAATCATGTTATTATTATAATGTATAGTCCGGTCGCCGAGCACGTAGAATTTCGTCCAATGACCCCGAGCATAATTATATATTGCTGTCGCGACTGTGAGTCGGCCGGTCGGTAAGGATGGGTAGCTCGGGGTCATTGGATGAAATTCTACGTGCTCGGCGACCGGACTTTAGTCTATTTAATAATTTGTAATACTTAATTTTTTGTTTGGCCTAATGGTTAAGTGGTAGAGAGATTTGCCATTTGCCACACTGCGTTCTGCGGGCGGATATTGCGGGCTGCGTTCACTTTGACTTGACAGCAGACCGCATCTAGTGTGTCAAATCTTTGATTCTCTTATGTATTTTTGGTGTTTGTATTTTTTTCTCAATAATTAAGTAAATAAATGATGATTATGTCCATAATCGCAGTTGCGTCGCAACTCCTACCACTGCGGGATTTGCAGCTGGGTGTCGATCAACTGGACGGGAATGATGGAGCACCTCAAGTCGCGGACGCACTTAGACCAGAAGTACAACATGAAGTGGCGTCTGGCGCAACATCTCACGCAGGTAAGCTTGGTCCTATGTTACGTTCCCGGTCGGGTCAATTGACAGGGCCGAAACGTGAATTCCACTTAGTAAAAATTTTTTCAAGTCGAAAGTATTCGACCAATGTGTGTTGCCAGTGATAGTATACGGATCTGAGACGTGGTCGCTTACTATGGGCCTCATAAGAAGGCTCAAGGTCACGCAAAAGGCGATGGAGCGGACTATGCTCGGAGTTTCCCTGCGTAATCGAATCAGAAATGAGGAGATCCGCAGGAGAACTAAAGTAACCGACATAGCTCGCAGAATTGCTAAAATCAAGTGGCAGTGGGCGGGGCACATAGCTCGTAGAGACGATGGCCGTTGGGGCAGGAAAGTTCTCGAGTGGCGACCACNCAAACGGCCGACAAGAATATACCTTTGTTTGTCACCTGTCATCCGCTTTGCAATGAAGTCGAACCTTAATTTCGAACTCCTCCTATGTTCTTCTGATTAATTTCGTTGCGGGTCCAATGACATTTTATCTTTCCCCCGGGACAAACTTGACCTTCATTGGTTGGGTTTTTGTGGCGGTCAAGCTGTAAATCCAGGCTACACAGGAGTTGCAGTGGTGGGAACGAGAGGTGGGAATAGTCCCGTAGCGGAATAGAGCAACAAAGAACTTATCATTATTTCAGCTACAGGACGTCCACTGCTGAACTTAGGCCTCCCCAATGATTTCCACAATGGCCGGTTGGTAGCGGCCCGCATCCAGCGCCTTCCCGCTACCTTTATGAGGTCGTCGGTCCACCTTGTGGGTGGACGTCGTACGTCGACAAACAGAACCGTTTTTTGCAACTATTTGACAGTTCACACAAGTGTCATTCAAAATCGGTTTCGTTTGACAGCTCGTGGTTGTTGCTATATTCCGAAGGAATAATAATTTTATGGTTTGGTCCTATGCAGCTATGTTCCATTCCCGGTCGGGTCATTAGAGAAAGAGTTTATAAATTGGGTAATATGCGATTCGCCTATTTAACAGTAACAGGCGTTACTTTGTGGAAATCCATAATAAAGATAAAAATTACTTAGCTTAAGACTTCCGCCGGATAAGTTCGTCACTAAGCTTAAATCTTAAGCTAACTTAAGTAATTTTATCTAATTTAATATCTAACGATTCGCCTTACTGGATGCCTTCGCGGTCAGGTTGAAGTCAACGCAGTTCGCTTCATCTATATGCGGTTGACCAAAGACCTCATAAAGGTAGCAGGATGGCGTTGGATGCTACCAAAAATTTGTATGGCGCGGAATTTTTTGTATGGTTGAAAAGGGGAGAGCGTCTCAAATAAGTTTGGGAACTAATGCTGTATATGGTAACGATGAATGTTTCTCGCAGGTGGCCCGCGTGCAGTGGGAGCGCTCGCCCAACCTCGGGGACTTCATGGGCGTCGCTGACCGCCACCGCAACACGAGACACCGTTTCGAGGACTACTTCACGAATTGGTAAGACACTAATATCCGCCTCTGTGGTCTAGTGGTAAGGCCCCAGTGCGGGCAGATTTTCCTGTTCGGTTCGGTTGGTGGTAGGGCTTGTTCTAAGTCCGCCTGGCTAGCTACCACCATCTTACCTAAGTCTGTCGCCATAACAACAATGTTAACAGCATTGTTGTGTTCCGGCAGTTAGAGGTAAGATAGCCAGTTCCTCCGTGGTTGAGGATTCCGGGTGAAGCTCGCTTCCACCTTCGGCCTGATCGTCACTTACCATCAGGTGAGATACAGGCCAAGAGCTTCCTCGTTGTGGATAATATAAAGAAAAAAAAAGCATCAAGCATCACTTTGCGGAAATCCATAATTAATTAGATATTAAAATAGATAAATTACTCAGCTTAAGGGCCCCCGCCCACGGCGACTTTTTGTAGTGATGCTGTCGCGCTTTTCGTAAACGAGCGACAGCATCGCTACTAACGCGCATTAGTCGCATTACAGAAGCGATGCCAATTGCCAACGCGCTACTAACGCGCGACTGTATCGATGCAAACGCGCGACCGTGTCGGACGACATTGGAGACAGAACGGAGGGAGGGTTACTGAATCGCGTTTGTATCGCGACAGAAGCGCGTTTATGTGGGCGAGTGCACACAGCTAGCGACCGCATTGCGACTCTATCGATGTCGCGCCAGAATCGCTACTGCATCGCTACAAAAAGTCTCCGTGGGCAAGGGGCCTAAGATGTCTTCTTGCATTTACTTACTATAATATGTCGATATTATAGTGAATAATAAATACTATGCTGGCGTCACTAAGCGGGAATTTTAAGCCAAGTAATTATCTCTTTTATATCTAACTAGCTTTCCGCCCGCGGCTTCGCCCGCGTGGAATTTTGCCTGTCACAGAAAAACTTTATCGCGCGCGTCCCTGTTTCAAAAACCGGGATAAAAACTATCCTATGTTCTTTCCCGGGACTCAAACTATCTCTATGCCAAATTTCATCAAAATCGGTTGCGAGGTTTAAGCGGGAAAGCGTAACAGACAGACAGACAGAGTTACTTTCGCATTTATAATATTAGTTGGGATTAGTTGGGATTAGATTAAACAACAACCTTTTTTAACGTCGGGAAATGCTTTGCGCATATACTGGCCGATGGGGACGATCAGTGGGTTAGGAACTTAGGACTCTCCCCGCCTGCTCACTAAAGGCGGGGCCTACCCCCTAAAACACGAGGTGTCCACCGGAGCCCAAATAAACGGAACCGCGAGTTATTGTCCTAGCTTGGACATTCGTCTGCAGCTCCGCCTCAGGTTATATAGGCTCGCTCACGAGGTAACTCTCCGGCTTCGAGGGAATCCTCTAGTTGTTTTTATAGAAGTTTTCTCTTCGTGGCCCTGGTACAACAGGACCCCCGGCCCGCCGTAGCGGGTTACGGTCTGCTCTATGCCGCTGCTCAGTCAGCTCTGCTGACCAGAGGATTACCGCGACCCTCCAAAGAATGGGCCCGGGCAAACGTCCCGCCAGCCCCCGCCTATAGGGGTTTTTAAAGATGTCCCCTGCAACACGGCCCAGGGAAATGTTCCGACAGCCTCTAAAGCCTGGTCCGTGAATTATGTTGCTGTCGCGCTCGCACACTCACTGCGGGAGCCCGTCGCACAGTCGCGACAGCAACATAATTACGCGCGAGCGATAGGGATGGGTAGCTTGGGGTCATTGGACGGTATTCTACGTGCTCACGGACCAGGCTTTAGTACCTTTAATTTCACACACGTTTTCTCTTTTGCCACAGGTAATCCAATGCAGAGAGCCCAAACGCCATGACGACGACTACCTTCGACAGAAGCACACATTTGTAAGCCAAAGCCAATTATTTTATATAATTTTCGCAGCTATAAAACAGCCATAGAATGTGCCATTTTTGAAGGATACAAATCCTACTTTTATTTATTGGTATGTCTATAAATAATTCTTGTTAATTTTGATTTTTGATGATGTTACGATGTCATTTTAACAACATTGCATGGTATGGTGTGGTATGGTTGACACCACCTTATCTACCAAAATTCTATGGTTACTAGACTACATGATTTTTGGTAAATTTTATGAAAACCCTCAGCCTGTATTAATCACCTTTTTAATCATACAGGGTGTGAGGGAACTATATTATAACATTTTCCAAAAACCGTTCGCCATGTTTTGACGCAGGCTCAAATGTAACTTTCTTAAAGAACTGATTCTAAAGCGAATTTGTATTAGTTCTTTCGATAAATTCCTTTGACTCACTGTGAACAGATTTTTTGAGATTCCTCCGATTGTCTGTCGATGATCAAGTTTTCCATTTCAAATTAACTAATGAGTCCAGTTAAATACTCTCGTAAAACATTACTCTCCTTTTGACACAGTAGTCGGGTAAAACTTTTTAAGACAACAGTTTTTGCAGGCCTAATAAAGCATTAACGTCTTAGTAAAGAACTATCATATTCAATTTTAAAATAATTAAATTACAGTTTTGGTGATTTTTATGAAAAAAGTTATTTTGATCATCGACAGAAATTAGAGGTGTATTCTTCTTAGATATAAGGATATAATAATTACTATGCATTTATCTTTAATATTAAGGTTTTAAACGTTAGTAGGGATTGTTTCATCCACGAAGATGCGCCTCACCATTCTTCCGCTAATGTTTGAGTGTTGTCGGTACACGCTAAATTGAGTGCACACGCACACTACAATAATGACGCTCGAATTGCTCGGATCAAAAATTCCCCGCACCCCGCGCTTCCCTCGACCAAAGATTGGTGAGGCGCGTCTTCGTGGATAAAACGATCTATAGATATTAAACGTATATTCGTATTTTTGATGTTTAATATTAAGTGATACCATAATATACAGGGTGTAAAAAACAGGTTGATGAATGCTACGACTTTAAACAGCAGTGGGAATATGTAGGTAAGAAACGTTATTCTGAACCTTAAGCTGTTGTCTTGCCATAAGGTCATAAACAACGAATAATAATTGTCACTATGATACAATTATTTAAAAAAAACTGTTTCGAGACATTTTAGTTTTCAGACTTGTCGTTTACACCCTGTATAAATTAATCTTAATTATAAGGATTCAAAATTGACTGGATTGACCTAAATCAATGACCAATTAAAATAGTGTACTCTTTATTTAGTTAAGTATAATATGAGCTATAAATTGATTATAATAAAAAAAATATAAGTTTATTTTTTACAGGAGACTGTCGCACACTGATTTGCACGTTATCCGCTAATCGTAAGATTGGTAAATGATTTGTACACTTCGTGCCCTATACAGGGTTGAAAATAATGGAAAAAAAAAATTTACATTTTCATTTTCACGAATTATTATTTTAATTTCCAAGATTTCCTGGATAGATCTCGTTCGTAATGGCTGTGGTTAATTTGTGTTTTTTTTAACTAGTGATTTAGATAACGTAATAATTTAACTACATTCTTTAGTTTTAAGAGTTATTTTGTTAGCCTTAGGTTTTGAAAAGTTAGGCTATTGAAAAAATGCTATTTTGCAACTTTTATTTGGTCATTGAGCTAGGTCTGGGAACGTGTAAGACTGTTGAGTATTTTTCGGAAAATTTTTGACATTAGAAAAATGACTGGAAAAGCGAGCTGGTAATATTTGTAATCTTGGCCTTAGGCCTTTTTTAACTAGATGTTAGAAGTATAATCGTCATTGTAGCCACGATAGCCGAACGGTGAAGGGGTCGGACTGGCCGACTCGTGATCCGAGGAACGCGAGTTCGATCTCCGCCGCTCGACTATTGTGGTGAGCCACACTCGTAACACAAGCATATTTAGCTTGGTACGAGGGGCTAACGGGACTATTAGTAATTTGTACAATGCAAATTACTAATATTCATTTTAAAAAAATCGTAGTTTTGGATGTTTAATATTTAATTGTTAATGTAATAATCACTAGTTACTTACTTTTTCTACACAATATTGTAACCGTTTAAAATCATCTCAACAAAGATATAAAAGGATGATGGGCACTTTTCTATGGAATCTGGGCGTAAAACCAACAGAAATGTAACTACTATTATTTGTTAGGACTTAATATCAGAAATATATTTTCATATAAATAACTACCAAAAACTCCCGGGTTTGCTTGGAAATTGACATAATGTGTAATAGTAATAGGTGCATTATTGCGCAAACAAAAAATATTATTAATTAATATACTTATCTACTTATATTTTAAATATTTAAGTCATTTATCCATTATTATGTCCAACAGTTCAGGAGTGGGGCCAACAAATGGTTATTTCAACCATGTTTTACATTATAAGCGTAGGACCATACCTAGGTACCATTTAGAGAAATGACATGAACACAGTCATGTTTCAATGGGATTTCTACCAGTTAAGCTGTAGTATTGTCGCATAATCGATCATGGATCGATTATTAATCGATATTGCCAAATAACGATTTATCGATTAACAATTCGATTAATCGATTTTTTTGATTACCATCATTACTATCATTTGATTGTTAATTCAATTCCTTATATTCAGCAATATAATCGATTATTGCAATCGAATAATCGATTATGATTTGTTCGGTATGCATACTTACTAAATCGATAGAATCGATAGTAAGATATGATACAATACTCTCAATATGATAGATAAAAGCAATCTAATTGACCTTATACTATTTTTATTACCCTAATGTGATGTGAAATACTATGGAAACTTTGCATATTCAACGACCTCTATCTCCGTATCCCCGCGTATTTCAGGATTGTTGTCATACTATGAAATGAAGTACTAGTATTAAGCTTTAATTTAGTATACTTTTTGTTTCTGTTGGTTTAACGCCCAATATGCCCATCATCCTTTATACCAGGATTCAGTTATGCTGCGTACACATAAAAATTGATGTCTATTGTTTTGTGTTGCTGAATAAAATATTTCATTTTCATTTTTACAGTAGCTACAGACACATACCTTCTCTTTGAGTCATGCCGACTGTATGTATACCCGAGTCTTAATTCTATGTGTTAGGGTTAAGGTACATTACTCAGTATTTACTTGGCCTTAGGCCATTAAATCGTATATTTGATGTTTAGTATTTAAGTGATCTACATTTATTGTTTAGGACTTCCTATTAGTCTGTTTTATCAGGCCTGTTCATCTCCGCGAGTTTACATCGAAAACAAAACACGCACGATGGCCCACCTACAGGATACTATTCGACAAGGCCTCACATAGGAGCGAACATTGACTTACGCATGCGTATTCTTGTGTATGATGGAAGAAAATAAAGAAAATGGTGTACTAAATACTGTGCAGTAGAGATGGGTTATACTAGGTAAATTTGATACTAGGTGCACCTATTCCAAGTATTTATAAATACGTGATCCAAATACCTGTTCCACTTAGTACGTAGTAATTTACCATACTTGACGCGACTAGTGCGGAGTGCGGACTAATCCACGTATTATGACTTTAAAATACAATTTTCTTTGAAAAGATACAACCGTAGTATTAATAATGCTATTTGAAATTGAATAACTTGTAGAATAGAATGTTTCTTCTAATTAATTATTATTATTATTATAAAAAATAAACACTTCAAAAATCGGACGTGTGACGGACGGCTCATGTCAAACTGAGAGTGTTCCATTTCAACATTTTTTCACATCGCTCACAAAACGCTTACAGATTAAAGAAATATCACAGATATCGCTAAATTTATCAACGTTGATGTCAAAAATAGCAAATCTCCATACATGTAAAGGAACACGCCCAAATTGACAAAGAAACACAGACAAAAAATCTTGGTGACAAAACTCCCCATGGGTCATCTACTACCAAAAATTTCTGGGAACTTTTGTCACCACCGGTATTTTAGCGGGTAACTTCTCAGAAACAGGAGTTAAATTCTATCTAATCAACACTCGAAAACTATTCCAATTTAATCTAATTATCAAATTACTATTTCAATACAAATTATGCAATTATCACGGACGCGTGACAACAAACCAAAACAAACCTGTCGGAAGAATAAAAACTGGTTTTTTACCGGCTAGTCAACAAGGAGTGAGCTGGATGAGAGAGAACAAAAATTAAAATATTCAAAACCTTACCTGTGTACAAATAGAGTTTAAATTACGTAATACATCAAACACCTATTCCTATCTCACACCTGCCTGCGCTCAAATTTGTTTGTCAGACAGAGACGGAGTGAATCTCTACGTTCGCACATAAGCTTAGCGATAAATACGCGGTGCACGTAATACACGACTACGGATTATGCAATAATAACCTCTATTACTTTGATGGTAGGGTCGGAAATCGTGTAATTTAAAAAATACTTAGCGAGAAATACGCGGTGCGTGTAATACACGACTACGTATTATGCAATAATAACCTCTATTACTTTGATGGTAGGGTCGGAAATCGTGTAATTTAAAAAATACTAAGTGGATCAAGTATTTTAAAAATTGGAATAGGTGCCACTTAGTACTGTAAAATACCTAGTGTGTGGACCTGTTCTAGTAAATACGTCTCATCTCTACTGTGCAGTATTTAAATGCCTAAATAATAATAAAAACACAGAATGTACTTTTTTTAAGTTGCCTCAAGACACTGAGAGGTAAATAAGTAGTTAATATTATTCATGATTTCATGCTAAATCATGTATTTCCTCCGCCATTTTCCGCAGTTTGGCACCTCACGTCACATCATTTTACCGAACTCAGCCCTATAGCTTCGGCGCAGTGCCGATCACTGACGTTTGTCAACAAAATGGTGCTTGACTCTTGAGGCAGGCTATATTGCACCATATTGTTAATGACATTGAGCATACATTTTTTTAAATACCTCCGCGAAGTAAAACTTCTGTACGTAGAACTTATTATTATTCTTTGGTTTTATTGCGTGTGAAATTAAGCTTAACGGAGTCAAATATAACATTAAAAATATCAATCGAATTGAGAACCTCCTCCTTTTGAAGTCGGTTATGAAATGGTCAGATTTAAAGAAAAGTTTAGACCTTGAAGAGCGAGAGAAAAGATATATTTCCAAGCAGTGTATATTTCACTTGTTTGTTGCATCCATTCACCCTGTATTTATGAAATATGTTATTCAATTGTTTATGATACTCGTTTGATTTGTTTAAATTTTAAAGCGATTGTTTTTTGTTCATAATTCAAGTGGCCATATCTGTTGAATTTATTACGTTTGCATTCTATTAATTGTTATTCTCAATATGTGAACTTTTTTAAATTAATAAAGTAGTGAACACAATATTCTTAATGGTTTTATTTAACCAATCCAAATAATGTGAATTATGAATTAAATCTTAAGATAAATTAACGCTTGGCTAGTCTAGGTCCTTTGTAAATAGACTAATTTAAGTTGTTTCCACATCAGCCAGATAGTATTGACAGTTCCAACTCCTTGCCAGACAGTTTTTTTAGGATAGCTGTCAAAGCTACGATGACCCAAACTTCATGATTCACCAGCATTCTATCCTATATTGGGAGCATACGCTGACAAACTTTCAGCTTTTATAAAATGACGTAGGTCTGGCGTTCACTTAGTCTATAAAGTAAATGTGACTTGGGACAATAGGTTTCAGTTGTCTGTCCTGCCCCTTATGCCAGTTAAGTGGTAGCTTACTTGGCAGATAAGTTCCCTTTACTAGTATTATATTATCTGTGCTTTTAATAAGCTGCTATCTGAGATAGGAACCGGGAAACCATGAAGCTACAGATCGGGAAACTGGCCGTAACATTCGCGCCAGCAAAGTTTTAGGTTCCTACTTGTTGCGCATTCGAGTTACCGCCCCGCCAGACAGATGGCGCTAGCTACTACCGTTTGTCTGCGTTCGATAGCCCCTTGATAAACTGCGATTCGCGGCAATCTCCTACGAGTTTACGTCTGTAAATACGCATTGATACCTTGTCGTTCGACGCCGGAACACGTTATGCTGTACGCCAAGTTTTCCTTTGCTTACGCGAGTGATGA